GCATTTCGTTAAGAATTCATCAGATCACAGACATAGTTACCAAATCAGGAATTTGATATTTGGGTGAGGATACAGCTTTTCCTCCCTGTATATAATCCTTTATCTATTCTCAGAGTACAGTTGCCTTTTTAATGAAAAATTACCATCCACCCTTTAGAACCTCGAAGGCAATACATACCACAGTTCGGCAATTCGAACAAAAACGTAAACATTTTTGATTTGTCTCCCTTTGTACGTTTCGACTGTGGCCTAGACTTGAATGTCTAGGGTCATTGGCCTGTTAAAAAAATTATCATCAACTACAACGATGGAGTTTTATGATCCTCTTAAACAGAAATAAATCTCCACTGACCACCATATTGTTTCTATCACTGCCATGGGGTTATAGATGGTCTGGGAGGGTGGATGGGAAGGGAGGGGGAATTTTGGATCCCGAGAATAATAAGAACACTGACCTGTCTGTCAGTGTGCATTGAATACGCTATTCCTGTAATCTCAAAGATTTTATTAACCCAGGCTCTCCATCCTAGATGTTTTTTGCCAGCTAATCAGCTAACGGGTCATAAGATGATAATACATGTAACATGTGCATACCTATGTGCGGTAAAACAAAAAGAAAACATATTTTGTTTTATTAGTACAATATAAACAATTCCCTTGTCCTCATCAGAATACACATGTAACTGCTGGAAAACATCTGTATTTGAATGATGCATTAGTTCGCCTAAATAACTTTCTTAATTATTCACAAATAACGTGAATTAGATTTAAATATACCTTATAAAGATGAATGTTGTGTACCTAAAGATAAATTAATTAACAAAATAAAACTGCTCTTTTACATGTTACTGTAGAAACCCGGAACCATATTTACGTGATATGACCCAATGTTGGTCTTATGTATTGTGTTCAATAACGTGTAGGTCTACTTCACAACAACAAATGTATCAATCATTTTATTGGTGAATTACATCAACGAGATAATCAGTTTAATCCGTGTCTTCAGTAGTACATATAAAATTATTGTTCTTTGTAACACTTCATTTTGGAGGAAATACATGAATACTAAAGTTGAAACACAAAAATATTCCGGTGCTGTGTAAAGTGATACTGCAGGTCTGTGACTTTTGCTTTCGACTACCGAGCAAAAATACACCCTATAATTTAAGACTAACAAACTCCTGATGAAAAAAAAACCAACAAAAAACAAAACATCTAGTCATCCAGTGAGAGAGATATATGTACATCATACTACAGAAGTACAGTCCACTTGTATGTAGCTCTCAGTTAACCCCGTAATCGATAATCTCGTATCATAAACAGATCTTTCAAGACAATAAAGGACTGTAAATGAAAAAAAGAAGAAAAGAAAGAAAGAAAAAAAAAATAAATAAATAAACAAAAACAAAAACAAAAAACAAAAGCAAAAATTAAGTAAATAGCATTCCAATTTTTCCGATGATAATTAGCTGTTTAAGGGAGATGTACAAGTATCTTGAGTGATTATAAATCAATGTCACAGAGTTATGTAACGGTAAGTTCACGCTTACCTGACTCAAGTTCATTCTACAGTAAACCTAGGAAATAATAAGGTTCACATGCTTATTCAATTTTCATAAGTATATATAAATATAGAATTTTAAATGATTTTTTTTCACATAAGACTTATGACACGTGTCTAGAAATTTTATATTTTTGTGAGGCTTTGGTGAGCTTAAATTAAAATTTTGAAACGAATTTCCTTGATCACATATCTAAATTAACGCGAATTAACGATTCTGTTTATCACATGAACGAGTCGTTAGGCAGGTATTGTAGGAAACGTGAAATTTGAAGTAATTTCAGCTCTGTATATATGATCTGCAATGTCAGCTCACGATCCAATCTATCACTGGAATATCGTTTCTTTACCTAAATCTGATGTTAGTAGATTATGATACAACCATTTGTAACGTACCTATTAGATCATGTAATTTTTACACTGGGCACACACTTAAAACGCTTGAACACAATATTGGTCTGATATCCACTGAACTATGTAATATTTTTGCATATATGTAATAGAGCTTTTATCATTGGCTGGGCCCGTCATATTGTGAGGTCATAACATTGACAACGACGTTACGTCATGAGCTGAAAACGGCGCAACAAAATGGCTGCCTCCGTTAATATTTTGACTTTTAAATTTGCCAAAATAGAACTTTTCTGAATTATGAGATAAAATTTACTTTACATATGTTTTCATTTCATATGAGATTTCAAGAAATTTGTCTCGAATTTTAAGTTTTGTTCTAAAGCTCGCAAATTAAAACCTCTTTAAGGCTCGTTTCATCATTGTTATTGACTGTGACTTTTGTGTAATTGTTTCGGAGTAATCTAGGTCGGGTTTATCTTTACTGTTAGACACTTATCTTTTCGCTGGGTCCTACAAGGCGGGCGGAGAATAACGATAGAGGCGTTATCGTTAACAAATATGGAGGCTCGAGGGCGCTGTACAAATATTATTTAGACAGTCCTCAGTGTGAAAATCGACTTTAATAAAAATGAATGATATGCTACATTAAAGGTCGATCATTAGAATTGAACAGCAGTTGTTGTCAATAACGTTCATAGGAATTTAGAATTTCAACATCTTAACTGATGAATTCGGAAGCGGACCTGCGTTACTAACCCAGAACTTGACACGTCATCATTATACAATTGTCTAGGACAATGCACAAATGAATGGCCCAATACAATGCAGATTTGTTTTTTATAAGAATATTTACAGATAAACGTCCAATGCAAGGAAAGATTTTGACCTTTGTGTAAAAACTCTATCGGAAACGAATACCACTATTCATACTATTGAAATAACGAAACCGTTTCAGCTTTACAATAAATATATCTGGTCATTATCATGTGAATCACAAATTGTATGGAAAAACGGAATGATCAGGGTATGTAATAAATGGTTTGTGAAGTAAGCTCGATCTATATTAACATACTATAAGTAGAGAAAGTCTTTGTGACATGTACGTGAATAAATAGATAAAAAAAATCCTGAATCCTGAAATATATGTCGCCAGTGGACAATGAACATGTCATGGTTAAAGAAAACGTCACACGAGTAGATAAGTGAAATTGTTTAACCTTGTGTTTAATAATCAAAATTGAAAGCACTACATCCACGTGCATAGGAATATATATATTTGGAATGGATGTGTTGCCAACATTTATTTCACACAGACATCTATTTAAAAACATCAAAAGTTTTAATTCAAACTCTAGCACATTTTGATACACCAATCCTTTCCCGTCAATTGAAGTGTGGTTTTGCCAACATATTCGCATATCAACTACAGGGAATATACAGTTGATATTATATAAGTGTTTCCGCTTGAATTGCAAAAGTCTGAATATACATGATTCATATGTAAGTGTTCTTATGAAAACTTGCACTAATTTAAACTGTGTGTTCAAAACCGCATACGCCTACGAAATATCATTAAGTGGCATTACTCAGCAAAATTTTAAAACATCAATTTTAAGACAAGGGTGCACAAAAGTCGCTGATAATGCACAATTTTACCTCCAGTATTGAAGAGCTATTTTGTTACAAACGATAGGCGATAGTTCCATTCCGCGGTTACATACAAAGTATTGTTAGTATACGGTTGTTTCATCGTGTTATTAAAACCTGATGTCAACCCGCGATGTTAATTAAATCAGAAATAAAAAAGCATAAGCAACAAAGCGCAAATCCAAGATACGATTTGTGGTTGAATCAAACCTTGAAAGCCACATTTATTTGTCGAGTTAGCAACCCGGCATTTTAAGGTCGGGCTACTGTGAAACGCAGTGTACAGACAATGAAATTGGTCATTACTCCTGGAGTTCACGATAAACATCAGCACGTGAGACATATGTGATGTAAAACATATGTTTTTCAACACAGATGTTTTATCGGCAGAGGTCAACCTACTCACGAACTGCTGCTGATGAGCAGCCAGAACAAAGTAAGCGATAAATAGAATCTACCTTAGGAGGCCTACAGTGATGTTGTTTAGCAAACATGTACACATTTGAAATTTCTCCGAATAAAACATTGATAGAAATGTTATCGAAATTGTAATCAAAGTACATATTATGCAGGAGGAAGAACAAAACATGTTTTGATACGGGCTTTTGTCCTACGTGTTAACAACGTTTGTCATTGTTAAACGCTATCTTTTCCATTAAATAGTATTTGTGATGGGTTTTGACAAACGCTCGTGTAAAGTAGCAGAAATTTTTCTACTAATTTTTTCTCTATATGATGAACATTGAATTTGGGGATGAACGGCTTTATTCTTAGTGGTTTAACACGTCAGATTGATTTTATGGAAACATGACCCTGACGATTCGGAGACCATCTCTGGCATGGTAAATCTTGTCTCCGTTTCTCGTTCTGTGGGCCACACAATTTAAGACTGTGTCGATGACCCCGGGAGATAACGGTCCATGGGAAAAGTAGGGTACATCACTTTTTATTGAAGGTAAAGTAATGTTTTAAAAGCAAGACACGACCTAAAAATGTCGATTTCAGCGAAGTCAGCAATCGGCACGGCGAGTCTGCCAGTCTTGCTTTAACTTCTCCCAACCGTACAAGATTGAGTTTCAAATGGAGTACTTTCCGCATGAATGCAAAAACCAACCCAGCGTTTCCAGCAGTTGAAACATGTTTTCTAGCCAGTGGCCTCTTGCGGCGTCATTGCTTAGTGATAAAATATCTCCCAACAGAGGTCAGCTTCCGAGGTCACTGCCGCGGAGTATTCAGCCCCTCTTTGCTGCAGCGGCGTTTTGATGAACGTGGCTACACGTCACATTACGCGGTTTTGTCTCGTGCGTTTCTCAACCTGCAAGAGCCAGCCATGAGATGTTTAGTACGACATCACCGATTGGCCTGTTTTTGATGACTGGTATATTAAAACTTTTCGTCAGTTGTGTAGTAGTTTGAGGCGGCCTCCTAAAAGCTGCTCGGCTCAGTGAAGTCATTTTCCCCAAGCCACCCTAGGAATCCGGTGTTCCAATACTCAGATATTGGAGCACGGCTCTTCCTAGTTCTAGGAGCCGTTATCCGGCTTCGGACATTACAACTATTATATCCTGAACTTTTTTCCATTCCTATATTCTTTATGAAGTTCGGGATTAAACGTTTATAAAATGGCATTTGGAACAGTTCGATGGTCGAACTGTATACTCCCATTATTGCTATGGGTGACAGTAACAGCAGCTCAAGGTACGGCTCAAGGTACGTATGATAATCGCTACTGATTGATAATTATCAATAATAATTAATATGATCATTATGTAATTTTATCAATATAACGACTTAGAAATTTTAGGCATGGATTTTATTTTAAAATACTGAAAAATATAAATAGCATGCACATGAATTGTCACAAATGCCGCCATTTTGTCATTGGAAAATGTATGCATTCGATTCCCCATTTGAAAACATTTCTTCTCTATCATGAATCAGAATAATTTTAGTGTTTACTTTGATAACAATGTAACATTGTAGTATTATGCAGATTGTTGTGTCTATGTTGAATATTGTTTTGTCTCGCTAATCAAAACAATTGTGTTAAAAAATTAGGTTTTTGCATTTGGACAAAATCCTTAGAGATCTTGTGAATTCCTCTCTCTCAAGAAGTAAGACAATACATAGTTCTAATTGCACACTTAAAATTGTCTCCGACTGGCGTAATTACTGCATCCAAGAGAAACCATATGGTCGATCTTATGATAGACAAATGTCATGCTAGTGATACAGTAGCTGTATCTGTATGACTTTGAACAAGAAGGATTATACATATTGTAAAAAAGAAAGAAAAATGGTATAAATTAGAACGGTGCCACGTTGCATGCATAATTAACGAGCAATTCAGTCTTAAAAGCGAAACTGTTTTTTCAACAAACGTCCGTCTGATATTTACACCGGAAAAGCAATGCGATCGATTAAATTTACGTTCGGTATTGCTTAAGGAAGAAAAAGAAGGCATCAGCCAATTAAACGAAATTTAACTTATAGGAAATTGTAAGTTCTTTTGTCAAGCGGAACTAGTTGTCAACAAATAAGGATGTTTGTGCGCATGCGCATTTGAAAAATGATGACGTTAGGGTAACCGAGATAGGTTGTGGTTTACATCACAAAGATGTCCAACATGCGTGATTTGGAACTCTTCGCCACTTTTTAATTAAATCTTTTTTTTATAATTATCATGAGTATTATATTTTTGCGCATTGAGTAACAACGAAAAGATTTTTAAAAATAGCATGCTATACTAGATGTACCTCAAACTGCCATTTTGTCTATCGATATTTTAAGTATGCCATTTTTTATTTTAATCGGGATTGAATTTTTTATGAGGTTAACTCGGGTATCATATACATACGTATGTGTGTATGTATGATAAGTATATTGCATATATTCTTGCTATTTTTCTAATGAATATTCATGAATGCTCAGTTTGATTCCAACATTGCAAAAATGGTGAACTACATTTTTCTCTGTCCAAATTAGTCATATGAAAATAATTTTGGGGTACTCAAAGAGAATGCACACTTATATTTATGAACATATTCGCTTGCTCAGTAAACTCGACACATTCATCTAACTTCTTTATAATTTGCAGTAGACAATTACCTAAGATGGCAGTTCTTGTACCCCTTTGGATGGCCCCTTAAAATTTGAAACGTGGCACAGCCATTTACACACATGTGTTTTGGCATTATACTGCATTATAAAAAGGTTGCTCAGTTGTCAAGTTTTAATACCTCTGAAACTTTTTATCAGATTTAGTACCCAATATATATATGTTAATATAATGAGATTGTAGGAAATGGAAGGGGGAGGGAATATACATATAGAAGTGAATAGTCTTTGCTTTACTTGACAGTGGGAAACTTCATCAAAAAGCCATTACATATATATATAATTATGTTAAGTCTTACCAATATCTCTGCTAAGACGTCTAGTGTTATGTTACAGACATTGCTATAATTTAGAAATTTTAAACGACAACCAACTTACAGCCAATTCTCCCTCTTTGCTTTCGATCGAAATATCCAGTTTAGTTGCATATATTAAATCGTTTATGTATTAATTTGACCTACATATATGTACTTTTTTATTGTCTAAACCCGTGATTTGTTAAAGTACTTGTTGTTAGTGAAAACAATGATGTTGCTTAATACGTCATTAGAAGAGTAGTAGAAATGTTGACACGAGGAGCAATTCATTAAACACCTGTTTTACTGAACTAATTTGTGTATAATTTCACAAATCAAGAAACAGAATATATATTGTCTTTCGTACAGAATTTAATTAGGTCATAGAGAGGAGTTTTGTTTTCTCAGACCATTTATGTCATTGACTTGAAAGAAAACTATCTATCCAAGCGCTAAACACCGTAAATCTGTGCCGCTACATGTAGCATTCTCAGAGTGTTACGAGTTTTGTGTGAAATTTAATACGCCACCAGACCTGGATCAGTACGGCGATGAAGTCAGGTTACACAGTATTGCCGATATTTCTGAAACTAGCTCTCTGTGTTATCTTCAACGACCTAGCAACGATCGCTAGTCCTCCTTTCGCCCTCCTTTCGACCCCCTCCCGCACGTTCAACCACCGTCAGCCATGTAGATAAAATTTGATGTGTACACGTGTGAAGGTGTACATGATTTGCCACGTCAGCGAACGCGCACAAATTTACAAATTTCAGGTTCAGATAGGAAAATTATGCCTACTTTCATATTTCAATGATTGATAATATACACACAGGATTTAATTTGGCGTAGGCATTTGAAAAAAAGGATAGAAGATGCATAGTTTATACAGAAATTATAGGAATAATGCTCTTATTTTAATTCTATTTGAATCATACGACCTCTTATTAAATATGTTTTGTGAAAAATATCAACATCAACAAAATAACAACAATTAAAATTTTCTTGAAGTTTTCCTGTTTTTTTTTTATGTATCATTATGTTTTATATTGATTATGACGTATCATTAACTGATGAGGTCACACAAAGTCACTCAACATCACATGCAACGTAATAACCTGCATGTGTGATGTATAGCATAAACATTGTACAAACAAAACTATAAACTTCGAGGTGTATGACATCACTATGTACCCTAACATTGTACAACATTGTATGACATCACTATGTACCCTAACATTGTACAACATTGTATGACATCACTATGTACCCTAACATTGTACAATACTGTAAAACATAACTATGTACCCTAACATTGTACAACATTGTATGACATCACTATGTACCCTAACATTGTACAACATTGTATGACATCACTATGTACCCTAACATTGTACAACATTGTATGACATCACTATGTACCCTAACATTGTACAACACTGTAAAACATCACTATGTACCCTAACATTGTACAACACTGTAAAACATCACTTTGTACCCTAACATTGTACATTGCATAACATCACTTTGTACCCTAACATTGTACAACATTGTATGACATCACTATATACCCTAACATTTATACATTGCATAACATAATTATGTACCCTAACATTGTACAACATTGTTTAACATCACTATGTACCCTAACATTGTACAACATTGTAAAACATTGTTATGTACCCTAACATTGTACAACATTGTATGACATCACTATGTACCCTAACATTGTAAACCATTGTATAACATCACTATATACCCTAACATTGTACAACATCTTATACCATCACTATGTACCCTAACATTGTACATTTTATAACATCACTATGTACTCAACATTGTACAACACTGTAAAACATCACTTTTTACAATAACATTGTACAATATTGTAAAACATAACTATGTACCCTAACGTTGTACAATATTGTAAAACATAACTATGTACCCTAACGTTGTACAACACTGTAAAACATCACTTTGTACCCTAACATTGTACATTGCATAACATCACTTTGTACCCTAACATTGTACAACATTGTATGACATCACTATATACCCTAACATTGTACAATATTGTAAAACATAACTATGTACCCTAACGTTGTATAACATCACTTTATACCCTAACATTGTACAACATTGTATGACATCACTTTGTACCCTAACATTGTATAACATCACTATGTACCCTAACATTGTACAACATGTTAGGGTAACGTCACTGTGTACCCTAACATTGTACAACATTGTATAACATCACTATGTACCCTAACATTGTACAATATTGTATAACGTCACTATGTACTCTAAAATTGTACAACATTGTATGATAATACTATGTACCCTAACATTGTACAACATTGTATGATAACACTATGTACCCTAACATTTTACAACATTGTAAAACATAATTATGTACCCTAACGTTGTGCAACATTGTAAAACATCACTTTGTACCCTAACATTGTACAACATTGTATGACATCACTTTGTACCCTAACATTGTACAACATTGTATAACATCACTTTGTACCCTAACATTGTACAACATTGTATAAACTCACTACTGTTTGTCTTTATTACAGAGACATGCGTATTTAACGGAGAGATTCTTCAAGATGGAGACATAGTTGACGGATTAGAACCATGCACACAATGTAGTTGTGAATTGGGAAAGATCAAATGTTTTAAAACGGATCAATGTCCCATCGGTAGGTTGAAGATTGTTTTAAAATGTGTATATTAACGTCTATTTTTCCATCCTTTGTTTTTTACTTTCGCTGAGTAATGTCTAATTCAGTGTCTCTACTGCCTCTGGTTTGCTTTAGTGTTTGTTTCAACTATGTGCGTTTTATGATCTTTCCGAATTATTTCATACATTGTAATGCTAGATCAATTATGCTTGAAATTAATCTATTTCCAAAAATACGATTATAACTTGTTCAGTTATCTATGGATAAAATACTTGAGGATAATACCATACAGAAGAGATGTGTTTGCTTAATAATATTTATTTGATATAAATGCATGTGAGTTCAAGGTATATGTTTGTCTTCTTGTAACTTTGCACAACGACATTGATCATCTCAGTTCTCAAAGATCGAATCGAAACATTTTAAAAAATGTTAATAAGAAAGAGCTACCATACGCCTCTACATTTACACCAAAGATCGAATCGAAACACTTCTTAAAACTTAATAACAAAGATCGAATCGAAACATTTCTTAAAACTTAATAACAAAGATCTAATCGAAACATCCTCCAAATTTAGCGGTAACACTGCTCACAAACATAAAGAAAATACCAACATGACAATTCCATCAAACTAGTTAAAATATGAGCAAAAGGAAGATTTATACGGAGACTCCTGAAAAAATACAAGGATAATAAGTCCAGGTGTTCCGGAAGAGTAAACATCTTCTGCTTCATCGACGACATTCACCATGTTAACCTTGGTCAATCCAAGTAAGTAATGTCAAACCTTAATAGCGAAGACCTAAATGAACCATCTTTCAACCTTAAATAGCAAAGGAATTGAATACGCGAGATTCATACTGGAAACTTTCGCTAAGGTTATTCCCTCTCTTGTATCATGATACAAAAATTCCCCTCATATTTATTCCACCCTCTGAGAATCATGTAAAAGGGTTATACAAGTGTTACCAAGTTTTGCCCATCTTAGATTCACCCATCCATGGAGATAGGGGAAATTTCCAGGACAGTTTGCTATTTTTAATTAGGAGTAGAAAAAGCGGATGAGAAGATTTTCCGTAGTGTCATGTCAGTGCAAATGGTTACGAAACATCCTACATTTTTGAAGATACAGTATCACTAATCATTCTTAATTATTCCTGATTTACAACATCGCGGGATTAGATATTTTTTCTTTCAGCGAAATGCCATGTAAATCTCTATTTCAAAGTCTGTATAGGACTTGATCTGATAAAACATCTATTGTATTTCCTCTGTCATAACATTTAGATACACACATACTATTTTACTACGTTTTAAAATCAACTGGATTCTATATGTTATACTTAATGTGCAGCTATTTAATATGTCTCCCATTATGTCTCAAATTATTTTATCCTTTGAGCAGATATTGTGGTGAATCTTACTATGCCTTTCGAATATATTCATTTGTCTTTTTCCCTATATTTCAGATAGTGACAACCAAGAAGTTGTGAGTATATAATTATCTTACATTGTGAAATAAATCTCTTGATGAAGTACCGTAATGTCATTACATAGCATTTTATATTTGTACAATGTTCAGTGTCAAGACATTGATATCCTTAAGTAGGGTATTAGTCTATTTTCTCTGTCAGAAGAGTAATATTTTCACTGTGTGAGGATAACTGGTGTATTTTATTGTCTGGATAGTAATGTTTTATCTATTAATGATAGTATTATTTTAGGACGAGTTATTGATATATTCAACTGTGTCTGGATAGTATCATTTTACTGTTTTAAGAGAGTAATATATTACTGTGTCAGGATAGTAATGCTTTTCTGTGTCAGGATATTAATATTTCAGGGTGGTTGATTGCTATATTTTTACTTTGTCGGGACAAATTGTGTCGGGAGAGGTATATTTTACAGTGTCAGAAGAGTAAAAGTTTACTGTTTCGGGAGAGTTATATTTCAATATGTCAGGATAGTAATCAATTTTCTGTTATAGGAGGATAATATTATACTATGTCAGGAGAGTAACATTTTGATGTTTTCAGGATAGTAATATTTTATTGTTTCAGAAGCGTAATATTTTAATGTGTCAAAAGAGTAATATTTATATTTTCCTATATCAGGATAGTAACTTTTTACTGTGTCTTGATTTCAATATTTTGTTGTTATTGTGCCGGAAGTGTAATATTCTATATTCGGAAATAGAACATTTTATTGTGTCACGATGGAAATAATTTGTTGTGTCAAGCTATTAATATTTATATGTCAACATGTCAATGTTTCAAGACGATTTGTTAATATATTTTACTATGTCTGTCTGGAAAGTGATATTTCAGGGTGGGTTGTTGATTTACTTTACTGTGTGGTAGGTGATATTTCAGGGTGGGTTGTTGATTTACTTTACTGTGTGTGGTTAGTGATATTTCAGGGTGGGTTGTTGATTTATTTTACTGTGGGGGGGGGGGTTTGGTTGTTGTTGTTGATTTACTTTACTGTGTGTATAGTGATATTTCAGGGTGGGTTGTTGATTTACTTTACTGTGTGTGGTTAGTGATATTTCAGGGTGGGTTGTTGATTTACTTTACTGTGTGGTAGGTGATATTTCAGGGTGGGTTGTTGATTTACTTTACTGTGTGTGGTTAGTGTGTGTGGTTAGTGATATTTCAGGGTGGGTTGTTGATTTACTTTACTGTGTGTGGTTAGTGATATTTCAGGGTGGGTTGTTGATTTACTTTACTGTGTGTGGTTAGTGATATTTCAGGGTGGGTTGTTGATTTACTTTACTGTGTGTGGTTAGTGATATTTCAGGGTGGGTTGTTGATTTACTTTACTGTGTGTGGTTAGTGATGTTTCAGGGTGGGTTGTTGATTTACTTTACTGTGTGGTAGGTGATATTTCAGGGTGGGTTGTTGATTTACTTTACTCTGTGTGGTTAGTGATATTTCAGGGTGGGTTGTTGATTTACTTTACTGTGTGGTTAGTGATATTTCAGGGTGGGTTGTTGATTTACTTTACTGTGTGTGGTTCGTGATATTTCAGGGTGGGTTGTTGATTTACTTTACTGTGTGTGGTTAGTGATATTTCAGGGTGGGTTGTTGATTTACTTTACTGTGTGTGGTTAGTGATATTTCAGGGTGGGTTGTTGATTTACTTTACTGTGTGGTAGGTGATATTTCAGGGTGAGTTGTTGATTTACTTTACTGTGTGTGGTTAGTGATATTTCAGGGTGGGTTGTTGATTTACTTTACTGTGTGTGGTTAGTGATATTTCAGGGTGGGTTGTTGATTTACTTTACTGTTTGTGGTTAGTGATATTTCAGGGTGGGTTGTTGATTTACTTTACTGTGTGTGGTTAGTGATATTTCAGGGTGGGTTGTTGATTTATTTTACTGTGTGGTAGGTGATATTTCAGGACGGGTTGTTGATTTACTTTACTGTGTGTGGTTAGTGATATTTCAGGGTGGGTTGTTGATTTACTTTACTGTGTGTGGTTAGTGATATTTCAGGGTGGGTTGTTGATTTACTTTACTGTGTGTGGTTAGTGATATTTCAGGGTGGGTTGTTGATTTACTTTACTGTGTGTGGTTAGTGATATTTCAGGGTGGGTTGTTGATTTACTTTACTGTGTGTGGTTAGTGATATTTCAGGGTGGGTTGTTGATTTACTTTACTGTGTGTGGTTAGTGATATTTCAGGGTGGGTTGTTGATTTACTTTACTGTGTGTGGTTAGTGATATTTCAGGGTGGGTTGTTGATTTACTTTACTGTGTGTGGTTAGTGATATTTCAGGGTGGGTTGTTGATTTACTTTACTGTGTGTGGTTAGTGATATTTCAGGGTGGGTTGTTGATTTACTTTACTGTGTGTGGTTAGTGATATTTCAGGGTGGGGGTGATTTTCTTGACTGTGTGTGGTTAGTGATATTTCAGGGTGGGTTGTTGATTTACTTTACTGTGTGTGGTTAGTGATATTTCAGGGTGGGTTGTTGATTTACTTTACTGTGTGTGGTTAGTGATATTTCAGGGTGGGTTGTTGATTTACTTTACTGTGTGTGGTTCGTGATATTTCAGGGTGGGTTGTTGATTTACTTTACTGTGTGTGGTTAGTGATATGGTGGGTTGTTGATTTACTTTACTGTGTGTGGTTAGTGATATTTCAGGGTGGGTTGTTGATTTACTTTACTGTGTGTGGTTAGTGATATTTCAGGGTGGGTTGTTGATTTACTTTACTGTGTGTGGTTAGTGATATTTCAGGGTGGGTTGTTGATTTACTTTACTGTGTGTGGTTAGTGATATTTCAGGGTGGGTTGTTGATTTACTTTACTGTGTGTGGTTAGTGATATTTCAGGGTGGGTTGTTGATTTACTTTACTGTGTGTGGTTAGTGATATTTCAGGGTGGGTTGTTGATTTACTTTACTGTGTGTGGTTAGTGATATTTCAGGGTGGGTTGTTGATTTACTTTACTGTGTGTGGTTAGTGATATTTCAGGGTGGGTTGTTGATTTACTTTACTGTGTGTGGTTAGTGATATTTCAGGGTGGGTTGTTGATTTACTTTACTGTGTGTGGTTAGTGATATTTCAGGGTGGGTTGTTGATTTACTTTACTGTGTGTGGTTAGTGATATTTCAGGGTGGGTTGTTGATTTACTTTACTGTGTGTGGTTCGTGATATTTCAGGGTGGGTTGTTGATTTACTTTACTGTGTGTGGTTCGTGATATTTTAGGACGGGTTGTTGATATATTTAACTATGTCGGAATAGTTAATTAAGTGAAACCAATTTTACCAAAATACAATAAATGTGTAAAAGTTTATACTATTCTTAACTAACATGTGAAAATACAACATAGGATTTTTGTCATGTTCATGATTCATGGAAGTTTTGACCATTTTGACCTAATTGGAAAATACTTAATTTTCTTGTGCAATCCGTAGTTAAATTGTTGGATGCTCGCTGGTATGTCTGATTGGATTTTCTTTGATATAAACCTGATCCTCATGTGAGAATTTGATCTTACATATAATGACCTATAATCATGCCGTGTGTCGTTACTGAAGCTTAAAACATTTTTTGTCTTTTTCTATTTGTTAATTAAAAGATTTCCGGTAAACCTTTTGATCAAATCTGGAGCTTGCTTCACCGATTTTAAGTTTAAGTAATAAATATTCAAACACTGGAATATTCTTAAAAAGACTGGGGCCACCCGGCGTTCTCAAGATGTTATGTCGTATTTTCCAGTCATTTAACTATATTTGCTGGGCACGGTGAATTCACCACAATTTCACCATATCATTTTGTAGCAGCTATTACCTATATCATATTTGATAATTATATTATATACTATAACAAAGACAACAAAGACATAAGTAAAATGGAACTTTGTTTGTGTCATGTAAAATCGAATTTTTACATAATTTTCATAAATGGTTATTCATTTTCAGAGAGATTCGGTCAGCGAGAGTGAAGCTTCTGTAAGTTATTTACTTTAATTTATCTAAATCATTTACTGCAAAATTATTCAAATGCTTTTATTAAGCTGTTTTCTCTATAGAGTATATTTCTCCAAGAGACACAAAGTATTCTTTTTCTCTTTACGGAAGAGATGATACTATTTCCTAAGTGTGTTTATTGCTTTCAGGGACACCGAGGACAGCCAGGCTATATAGGGTTCACGGGTAAACAAGGAGCTATGGTATGATCTGTTATTTATTAGGTCTACAATACGATAATTTAGTGATTCTTTTGTTACATTCTAAAAAGCGATTCATAATATTTTAAAAATCACAACTTTTGGCTTTGGTTTGCTGCTTTAGTGTCCCCTTTGTCATAACTAAATACCACGGCAGTTTCGGAAAACCCAGATCTTATTAAATAGATAAAACTTATCAATCATGTTTTCAAAACGATCATAATATCCCCCAACAAATATTTCCGAGTTGCAAAATTCATAGCTTTCATCATTGAATTTCGTGATGAAGGTTTTCCGTTGTGACGTTTGGTAATTCAATATTTCACAGGGACCTACAGGATCCGATGGAAATCATGGTATCCCAGGGCCCCCAGGACCACCCGGCGTTCCCAAGACGGTTTGTAGATCAAATAAGACATCCTTTCTAGGAACCGAAGATAATATTTGGATGAGGGGTAGTCAATATCTTTATCGTTTGCTGGTGTATGTCCCCTTATATGATACGCGACAATTATCTCAGCTTCATGGGACTTAACCTTTGTTATTGCCCATAATTTCACTCTAAGTAAATGAAAAAATCAGACAAGGCATTCTGATGTTTATATGATTTTTTCCGAACAGATCGTAAGTCGTGAATATGGAAAACAATCATAAAAAGCCCATTCAATATACGAAATCGATTTTCGACATTCTTGATCAGACAACCGCATCAATCATATCAATTAATTTATACTATTACAGCAAGCCGATGAAGCATTTATGCACTGGGCTCAGGCCTACCCCCAAAAGGCAGGCGGATTTGCCCAGGGACAACGATACCTTCAAGCTAATATCGTAAGTAATACAATATGTCTTTTGACCTTTTCCGGGTTTTTCTTTTCAAGGCATATCGCTCTTTTTGAAATAAAAAAAACAACAACATATATCTATCGCGATAATTATTGTGTCTTTTAACTTCCCACTATTACGACATTGCTAAACGTGACTTAGGAAGTATATGTATATTTAAGGACAAGAAAAATTCATATTTACTTTACAAAAGAATATACATGTCCTATAATATTTTACACCATTGATTTGATCGGTAGGGACCAGCTGGACCTCGTGGACCAACAGGACCCCCAGGACAGCCGGTAAGTGACGTCATCTATAGCCATTGTTGTAGGTAACGTACCTTGTTTTAAGTTGGATAGTTCTTTAACGTAAAACAATTTGATATCAGTTTGATTTTTCTTGGTGAAAAGAAAAAATGTAATTGCAATTTTATGATAATCTTCATGAAATGCCTTTCATACAAAAGATAACTCCTTCAGTCAAAATGTCTGATTTCTAAACGTTTATGAACTCATTGCTATATAAAATATTGTTATTCGCTGTAGGGACCACAAGGTTTGACCGGAATTCGCGGAGAGCCAGGTGATTCCGGACCCCCTGTAAGTTACATTTCAAATCAACAATTTAAGATCGAAGCCCTCAGTCAGTGCAATCGTATTTATCCATGGCAAGTTGTCGTTTCTTTCCGACACTCAATAAAATAAACGAGTTTTTCTTTATTTGACGATTCCAACAAAACGTATTCCTTAATACATATAAGTTTATGATTATATGTATGATATTTCAGCATTGTTATCTAAACTATATTTTGTTACCTGTATTTGTTTCAAGGGATCACCTGGACCACGAGGATCTCCAGGACCTCCAGGGTTACCCGGACCAGATGTGAGTTATCATTTTTTTCATGTTCTGAAACAAAAATTGTAGCTACAAAGTTAATTTTCATTGTTTTGTATTGTATCTTAGTATTTTCTTAAAAAAGAATATTCTGATAAACAAACACATATGTTTCAATTACCTGGTATGATGGTAAAATGTAATCAGTTACAGAAATTGACGCTTTTATTACATTTACTTTCCAACTAATTAAACAGCGTCATCAATCGTAGTTATTGTTTCTCACAGGGAGATTCTGGACGTAATGGCGAGCCAGGACCACGTGGACTTATCGGAAGGAAGGTAACACCAGACAAACTCACGCGCGAGACATTTTCAATTAATAATTATCAGTACATAATTTGTTTGTAAAAATCTCCATACTGATCATAGAGTCACGATTTGTGCTGCTATGTTTTTGAGTTTATCATATATCAACAACAATAGAAAAAGAACTATATCAAGTGATGTCATTTTATAACGAATAGCATGCCAACCATGTTGTATTCACAACATAAACAATACTATGATATACAATATAGCCAAAAGGTGGAGCATAAATACGCTACAGGATTGCGATGTTATTTATGCTGTAGTTTTCGCTCATTATAATGTAAGTAAATAAACGATCCCAAATAAAATAAGTGGACTAAGATTAGTAATACCGTGAGGCGAAAAATTGATGACATGCATAAGGTTGATATTAAAAAATAAAATAAAGAAATTCTCTGATATTGTCTTTCTAGGGACCTAACGGACCAGCTGGAACTCCAGGGATCCCAGGATCAAAAGGACATCGGGTATGTAATGTGAATGCGTTTTATCTCCATAATATACCCACAAAGTGGAACTTGCTATTTGATAATACATTTTTACTACCTCTGATTACACAATCGTTGATTTAACCGGGGAAAATTGGTATGTAACCAATAGCAATGTTTTTTTCGAACGTTAATGGCAAACATTCTAAATCACGTTTATCTGATTACAGGGTTTCCATGGTTTGTCGGGACCTCCTGGAGAACAGGGATTACCAGGTGATAAGGTAAGGACGTCACGTCACCATCTTTGCAACTGAGTGAAAAGTTACTTTGTTAAGTCCAGTTTTAACAAGGCATGAACTATCAACGAGCGAAATAATCTATCTTTATGATTCATTCCACTTGATAACGAATTGATATTATCAATGTAACACAAATTTCCTCGAAACTTTATTAAATGGATCTTTGTACATAATTAGGGAGATACCGGTCCCCCAGGACCCGCCGGTGCCCCAGGTCTCCAAGGAATGCGTGGTTTGGCCGGAGACAGAGGAAGGGATGGAAATGATGGACCAGCGGTAAGTGATTATTTTGGCCTTCATATGATCTGATCAAAACTTCAAGCGTTTGATCTTTTAATTAAAGCCCAGTATTGTATCAGACATTGCAAAATTCTACATGAGATTAATTTTGGTTCCATTTTTGTATGCTTTGATCTCATTTGAGAATGTGTTATCTCTTATTGACGAATGACATAGCAGGTGTTGTCCTTTTACTTTTCCAGACAAGGTTTAAATCTTGTTTTTGTTCATATTTTGTTTTAGATTTATCGAATTTGAGTTGGGATTGATATTATTTTCGCCAGTTCATATTTTCTTCTTGTAATTTTATACTGCTGCGTAATTCTATTTCCAGGGTCTGAGAGGAGTTGATGGACTTTCAGGAGCTGCAGGTGCTCCTGGTCCCGTCGGAAACATCGGACCACCAGGAATTCCTGGACGTCCAGGGACAAAGGTAATATATAGACGGAAAATGATATACTCTTTCAAAATCAACTGTTTACTCTATCAAAAGAATGACTAAGCATTAATCATGACATAAAATCCAGGTAAGATATTGTTGGTAATGCCTGTAAATGAAAGTACGAGAATCAGTATTTTTGTGACACGATTTGCATAGTATTCTTCAAAAGATGTGTGGTTCCAATCTTATTCTTGCTATTTTTTCATATAACAGGGAGGTGCAGGAGCCCCTGGCCCCAAGGGAGCCATGGGACTTCAAGGACAACGCGGAGATAGCGGAGAACCAGGACCAGCAGGGGAGGCGGGAGCCGTCGGACCCAATGGTCTTCCCGGAAGTAACGGCGAGAAGGGAGCTTACGTAAGTCAAGTTATCGAAAGAGAAGAGGGTTTAAAAAAGGATATCACTTCAGGTTTTTAATCATAAAATTTACTTGGTGATTTCAAATGTAATTCGATAATGATATTGCCATGTATGCAAACCTTATATATGATTCTCATTACCAGGGTGAACCCGGACCTTCCGGTCCCCCAGGATTTCCAGGACCTCGTGGTTCCCCAGGATTTGGTGGAAGTCCAGGACCCCAGGGACCAAAGGGATCAGCGGTATGTTGTACAAACATTTTATGTCTTTAAGTAATAACTAATTGATGTCTTCCTGTATTTATTTTGAGAGATAACTCTTGCTGTACAAAATGCCCATTGTAATATAACTGTTTCAAAGATTTTTTTCTGATTTGTAATTGAATTGTAACCCATGTTTAAAATAGATATTTATCACAACATTGACTCATATTGTTTATATGAAGTTAATAAACTTTTATCTTAAAAACCCTTTTACTCAAGGCTGTTATAATATTTTTATGATAGGGTCAACCAGGAGAAATGGGCATTAAGGGAGCTTCAGGACAGCGTGGTCCTGCAGGATCTGTTGGAGAGAGGGGCATCCAAGGACCAGCTGGACACGAGGGAAAGAGGGTAGGTATTTCATTACGTATCTTCAGATGAATGCTTAGTCTGTAACGAGATATCATTCATACACCATTTTAAAAGAGATCTGTTTAATGCCGTTATTTAAAAACAAAAATGTTACCAAATGCCATACATGCAAATTCGATATCGTTGCTTCATAATGTATTCATAGACACAAAATCAACGATAAAAAATGTTAAAAGAACGATTGTAAATAGTCTGGTGGATTACATTTGTATGTAATTCTGTTTTCGACATGGAATGGTGGATTTTTCTTATTACGCTGTTATAAAACATTTGCACATGGGAAATTGTAAAGCTTTTTTGAAATTATTGCTATGTATGCCAAATAACAGAAAACATATATGATATATGTATTAGACATCAAAGACATAATGTACAAAATTGTTATTAAGCCACTTCAACAGAAAAAGCACATTTGTATAATGTATGTTGTTGGTATGCCATTTCATCAGAAAATGTACTTGATGTGTGATGTGATGCGCACATCAACCAGGTTTTATGGCAATACTTTTATACAAGAATGATAAGTTATTTTTTCTAACTTATTGTTGTATAGAAAGATATTTCTTCATGTTCATGGTTATTGTCAATACCAGGGACAACGTGGAGTAGTTGGAGAGACGGGACCGGCAGGACCCCAGGGTGAGCGAGTAAGTGAATACTTAACCTACCTTTAAATCTACCAAAAGACACAACACAAACTGATAGTATTAATAAACGAGTTCTATTTGACACATACTGATAAACCTTTAAGATAATTATAAAACGTAGAAGCAATAGGCGATATGAGGATGTCAAAATAATGGGGTTGTTACTAGCCATTAAAGCGTTCTATTTCTATACAGGGACCACCAGGACAACGAGGGATGCCAGGAGCTACTGGTGAGGCAGGAAACATTGGAGAAGATGGAGCTCCTGGATCAAGGGGTCGTCGTGGAATCAGTGGACCAATGGTGAATTTCTCTATTCTTAAAACCTGATTACATGATTAACTGGTTTGTGCCTAATTATTTTACTCAATAATAAAACGTTAAATTATAAACAATATTCAAAGAAAGAGAGAAATTTCATTTTTTTTTAATTTTCAAATGGATCAAATTTTATTACCAATATTTTGTTTCTATAAAGATCTTTATGTGTTGACTTTTCCAAATCTTGTGAACAGGGAGAACCCGGACGTCAGGGAGCACCAGGAAATCGAGGATCCAGAGTAAGTATATATATGGAAGGGTTTCTATCTCATTGAGTATTTCATTGTTGTGGTATATGCATATTCACTTTAAGCAATGAAAACAAGAATAAAGCTATACTTTTTTTTCTGAGATTCTGTTCTGAACGAATGCGATGTTAACCGATGGAAATTCACACATTATTAACAATCTTGGACTATTATCAATGGGTTCAATTTCCACCAGAGTGTCATCTCTGTTGAAGGTCAACTATTCAATCAATCAAAAATCGGAAGGTCTTCTACCACTGGTAGTATATATCATAAACTTACCTAAGCGAAATAGAGAAATAGTTATCTCATTCCTATCACCCACGGCATCACCATGTTAAGTGTATTCCGAATGCTATAGGATGATTTCTGTTTCTACTTCGTTAGGTAAACATTAATGTCTAAATACGGTTTCAAATGGTCCTCGTATTGACTGGCTCATCTTAACTTACTTTTGTTCTTGATGCATGCAAGTTTGATAACATTCTCAACTCATATTTTATACAGGGACCTTCAGGTATGGCCGGATTAGATGGAGTTCCAGGACGAGCTGGAAACCAAGGAGTTCCCGGCAATGACGGAAACCCTGGAGAAATGGGACCACCGGGTATTCCTGGCCCAGCCGGTGTCCAAGGACCACAAGGACCAACAGGAGATAGGGTACGTCTTACAGAAAATTAACCTATTTATAAAAAAATATTCTAGATAAATATAATCACAAAATTAATACTGATTTATTTAATGAGATTTGCTAAAAAGGCAATGCAACTTACTGATAACCTACCTGGCTTATTTTAGGGTACTCCAGGTAAAGACGGGAACCATGGTCCTCAAGGTAGCCGAGGCCCGGCTGGAGATGCTGGACCCCAAGGAGAAATGGGACCGTATGGACCCCCAGGACCAATAGTGAGCAATCTATCTTATATTAGTGAGAAAAAGTATCTACATTATTGTATATGTATATTCATACAATTATTAAATTTTACTATGGTTTACAATTTTAATATAACAATGTATTGAGACATAATGTATCACATTGATTGAATTTCTGTGGAAAACTAAAAAAAAGCAAAACAAGAACAATTCCGAATTGCTGTAAAGACTTTAGTGTTTTTGATGTCAATTGTATCTAAAATATGTTTTTTTCTGCGTTTTTGTTAAATAACTGTCCAATTGACCTATTGTCCGTACGTCCGTTTGTCCATCCATTTTCGACATCTCTGAATCCGAAACTCTGAATCAATAATAATAAAAAAAAAATACCAAATCTTTTCATTGTCAATTATAAGCTCACTGTCAACCAGCTACCTAAGGGCTGGGGCCAACGGAGCTAAATTGACCGAATTTCAAATCATCTTCTCAAGCCTAAATATGGTAAAATAAAACACACTTCATGGATGGAAAGGTATTTCAATATTTTCATATGAATTTTCTTACCCCAGGGTCCCGCGTTTTTCTTCGGAGAGGGGTAAAATTTACTGTAGTCTATTGGGAAAATTGCATTATTGATCATACTTTGTTTAATTTCATTTGTAAACAATTAAAATATATTTACACGTTATAAGGCATGGTAGTTTCACAGTATGCATAGATCCACACGGATCTAAATAGCGAGTCCAAAAGGGATCAAAGTAATAGAAATTTTCACAACTTTTCTCTTCAGGATTCATACATGATATAATTACTTTTGGTACATTGATGACTATTAAACAAACATTGTGAATTTCATGATGTGATGTCTCACATTTCTTCCTGGGGAGGGAGTAATATACACTTTTAATCAGTTTATAAGAGAAACATACATATGCTGGCGTTTTAATTTAATTTCTATAGAAAGAACAATCAACTTGGTCAGAACTATCAGTAGGCATAGCAGATTGAAACTGTAAATTTCTTAGATTTCGCGAATGCATCTCTAAAGACATATTCGTGAATCCATGATTTCACTAATTTCATATTCGCGATGAGCTATAAGAGGCTCCAGAGGCCTGATGAATTAGGCCAATGGCGGCAAATTGAATGCAATTTTAATCATTTGCATTCATTTATCTGTGTATCATGTAGTTTAAGTTCATACTATGTAAACAGAATGATTTTTTCTGGGTCTTCATTTTTAAAAATAAGATTTATGCCTTCCGTGGCGAGCGGCGTGATGAATGTACGGTCTTCATTGAACTTTTGTAAATCTTTTCAAGGGAGAGGCTGGCGAGAGAGGACCAACTGGAAACGGCGGCCCACAAGGATACCAGGTAGACACCATTTGATTATACGATAACATTTGTATAAGGTGGCGTTCTTTCATATTACCCATTCAACGGGATTAAATACACACGGTTCTTATAAGTTGTGAATATATAAGCAATGTCAATTTTCAATGTATATACCTTTCGATTACAACACGTACTTTTTTATGGTTAAAGAAATGAACTCTATTGTGCACAAATTGTATACATGACATTTCGATTACAATGTAGATTCATTATGTCAATATGATAAAATGTATGCTGTAACCTAGTGATATATGAACATATAGATGTTGACATCAATGTATTATTAAAGCATGCAGCAAACTTCATTGATAATAGAATCCTGTTCTCTTTTGATGAATTTGATTATGTTTAAACAAAATAGGGTGCACCAGGATTGCCTGGACCACCCGGTGAGTCAGGAAAACCTGGAGAACAGGGAGAGCCTGGTAATCAGGGCAGGAATGGACGTCCCGGATCTCCAGTAAGTGCTTTGTGAAGGTTTCAGCTATTGCCATTTGTGAAAGACTATGAAAAGGATTAAAATTTATAATTACAGTAGTCGTGCATGAGCCAGTTAAAAATTATGTTTAGGAGTTTGATACCATTGACTTTGGGTATCGTTTAACCATTGGGTTGCGCGTTGTTCTTTTTTCCAGGGAGAGAGAGGATTCCCAGGAGAACAGGGAGAACCAGGAGTTTCTGGCGAACCAGGAAAAGCTGGACCAGAGGGTCCGACTGGAAGGGCTGGAGAAAGGGTAATATGACGCTAAAGTAATGTCAATAAGATGATGTAGGTGTCTTTACAGATTTTCTTCTTGAAATGTTCTTCGGTTGTATAACTACAAGATGGCTACTTTACAACAAAGTAAACCTTTCCCTTAACTTGCATGTATTTTGTTTTTTTCGACGCAAACAAAGTTCATTTACTTTTCAAAAGTTTCCTTTAGTACACTTTCATGACTATTTCGTTATTTCGTTGCTTTAGGGACCTCCCGGAGAACAAGGTGAGAAAGGAGAGCTCGGACCAACTGGAGTATTGGTAAGGAATCTTCTGAAATAGAAAGAAAATAAAATATTTGTTTATTAAGTACGTTTGAAAATATATATAGTTATATTTTAACTACAAAGTTATCATTCATTTTTAAAAATGTTAAAGTGATTTCTATATAACATTGCGGATAAGTGTTTGTTGATAGCTAATAATCAGGGATTTTATCATTTATATATATATATATATATATATATATATATATATATAATAATAAAATTGATATCGAAAGAAAGAGATGGAGAATCATGGGACTCTTTTTTATTCTTCGCTTGATATATTTGTTTGAATCAACAAGGTCTTCACTGCATTTATTTTCTATGATGACAGGGACCTCAAGGACAGCGAGGAGGACGGGGAGCGCCAGGAGAACAGGGAGAGCCCGTAAGTTCTACATGTATTCATAGTGTCAAGTTAATAGCAATTTTCATTAAGTGTATTGTGTAAGGCATATTTTTCGTTACGCAAGATCTTAACCATGATGTACAAGTATACCATGGATAAAGGGCAATGCAATTGTTTAAAATATTCAACTTTTAAAACACAGGGTGACCCTGGACCACCTGGCCCTGACGGATCTACCGGACGTTCTGGAGAGCCTGGACCACCGGGAAAGCCAGGAGAGGTCGGACTACCCGGACCAACTCCACCGAAGGGAGAGCCCGGAGATCCAGGATTTGATGGAGAAAAGGGATCGCGAGGATCTCCTGGAGAGAGAGGTCCTATGGGATTGCCAGGTGCAGACGGATTAACTGGCATGCCAGTAAGTAACGGGATTCATTAAGATGACATCAATAGTCGTAGAATAAAACTCAAAGTTTATATCATTCTTGTAACCTCTTAACCATTCTTTATCAGAAAAAGCCAAATTAAAAGTAAAAGTATATAGATTAATTGAGACAATGTCCTTAGCTACTTGATAAATGTAACTAGTGAACTTATATCATTTATGTAAAAAGGGACCAAGAAATCAATGCCATTCACATAATATATGTTTTTATGCAACGAAACATTGTTAGATTGTCATAATTTAGCAGAAATATGGCAACATACATTAATCATTATCTCATCACTTAATTCTATTACATTGTACGTGAAAACTAAAATAATTTATGAAGTGATTGTACAAAAGACACACAAGTGAATGACACTATAAACGTCTTTAGTATTAAAACGAGCTTCTGTCAGATAATGAATTAAACATTTTTACATGGCTGTATTGCCCTTCTAGGATTTGTAAACAATTGTTTGACCATAACTCTGCAAATCTATCAAACGATTTAGGAGAAACCTTACCCGCCCGAAACATGCGGTTAAATCTTTAAGGAAGTTTTCATCCTTGGAATTTTCAGTACCACAGATGAGTCCAAAGCGAACGAAAAACTGATCCATGTCAAAGATTTTACGGTACTAGCAATTTTCAAATCGCCTTAATTGTTTCATTTGTAGGGTAATGCAGGACCGGCTGGTCCAAAGGGACAACAAGGATATCCTGGAGAAAAAGGTGATCAAGGAGTAGTTGGAGATGCCGGAATCTCCGGACCTCCTGGAGCTAGGGTAGGTTATATCTTCTTACTCTTATCATGTACCGATCTCTAAAACATAATAAATTATCACAAAAATTATCACAAACATTTATACTCCCTCGGTCTTACATCATACAGATCATGATCTGGTATTTAATGCTATACAGGGTCAACCAGGATTAGATGGAGCCAAGGGTGTACGAGGAGAACAAGGACCCCCGGGTCTTCCAGGTGTACCAGGACCAAATGGCCGTACAGGCCCAGTGGGACCTCAAGGCAGTCTTGGAGAAATTGGTGATGCCGGACCACCTGGCGCTGATGGAATCAAGGTCAGTCAACTCATCAGTTGGAAAAGGTTATGGCCACGGTTTTCTTGGATACTGAGAGTATTCTGATCGTAGATTATCTGCAAAACGGACAAACCATGGCACGTGTTTGGCATCACTTCTTACGCAGTTAAAGATAAAATAGAAAATTTAAGCCCCGCGGAAAACTTGTTAAAGGTGTGTTGTTCCACTAGAATTATGCCCCTGTTCACAAGTCTGTCATTGCCATGGCTGCCATTAATGAGTGTGACCTTTAATTGATTAAGAATCCGCCGTTTTCGCATGATCTCGCTCCATTCGACTGTTATCAATTTCCAAAACATTTCCAGTACCCACTTTCGGTCATATGATGGCATTGTGGCATTGGGGCTTTAAACATCGTCTGACTTGAAACGTATAATAAGTAGTAAAATGTGTCTTTGACTTTCTCCAATGTCGATGTCGATTATCTGCCTCAACAGGAAAAATGGCCACAATCTTTGGGTTTGTGTCAGAATTAATGAAAATGTCGGGGATTAGATCATGTAAATTAAACATGCGTTATATAACAAATATTTTAGAATTTGAAATAGATAATAAATTAGGATATACGTATGTACCTTCATTATTGTCATTATGTACTATAAACGTTTGTTTTCCAATGGTAAGACTTTTCGTGGTTTTACAAGTTGTGCCAAAGGCTCTATTTTTCGCGAACGTCAAGACAAATTACCATTCACTTCATCACTTTTTTAACTTTCAAATGTTGTTATGACCTCTAAAGGGACAACGTGGAATGAATGGACATATGGGCTATGCAGGTGAGGCTGGAGCTGCTGGATTACCTGGAGAGTCTGGACAGAAGGGAGTACGCGGAGAAGATGGAAATGCGGTAAGTTTTCAATGAAAAGTAGCATCTGTCGTAAAAACAGGATCATGCTGATTTATCACCGAGTCGTTTCCTCTGCAAGTGACGCATTGTATTATGTAACATCGTTTATAATTTTGACAATATAATAACATCTTACAATCAATGAAATATTAGGTAGCATCCATTATCCTTATCTAAAACTGACATGTTTTTGTGCAATGTACACTGTCTTGTTTCATCTTATCTGTTGCAATAACATCAGCATGTGATCATGCATATTGGAAAACCGGTTCATTTTAGAAAAAACATAATTTTTCGTTTATTACTCTTAAATGAAAAATTTATATATCTGGCCTGGTATTTACTATAATCATCGTAACATTTCCTGTGAACCGCGTTAATTCATAAGCATAAGTGAAGTATTCTTTAATGGAAATACAGAAAGTCACATGCCTATCAACTATATATATATCTATCGTAGGGACCAGTTGGACCAGTTGGACCTCAGGGATCAGCTGGCGACAGAGGACAACCCGGTATCCAAGGAATCAGAGGAGAGAGGGGCCCCATGGGACCTCCTGGACCACCTGTATGTTACATTACGATGTTATATTGATACCATGTAAAGTGTAATGCATAATATTATTATAGATTTCTGCAGTCGATTATTTTCTGTAAAAGAAGATTTCATTGATGAACACTGCAGAGACATCTGTTCAAGCGTTTTATGTAGCTTCAACCTCAGATATGAGAGAATTACATAATAATGACTCATATCACGTCAATATTTGAATACCATGATTGATGTTATGTTACTTGAACATATTATGAGAATGACAATGATTACCTTACATAGTAACAAGTGTTTCACCTTAACAATACACCGAAAATGTAACTTCATAATTCAATATACTCTATGGTGACGTTTAACATCCAGGGCAGCCAAGGATCTCCCGGACGTGAGGGTCAAGATGGACATCCAGGAAAGGCTGGACCAAGGGGTGTGGCCGGACCTCCAGGACCAGTTGGAGAACCTGGTAACATAGTGAGTTTTTTGCTGTGGTAGAATTTTTTTAATTTTTTGGTGATGTCTGAGTATTACAAAAAAAAAAAAAAAAAGAAAATGCTTATTCCGTGGAAGTTGACCAGATTTTTCATGAATGATAAAAATAAGAATCAGAAATATGATATGGTTCCGTCGAATTGATTTAATCATAAACTGTGTTAATAATTGTTGATAATAATCTTATTCGTATCTGGGTACCGAATGGTGCAGCTGCTGGTAATTTGATTAATTATGATGATCTATTTTTATAGATATATATCGATAATTTGAAAATATCAAGTGACCTACTGATATTGCCTTGTGCCTTTGTTTGCCTTCTTCTCGTAAAGCGATGAATACTTATTATATGAAATTTTGTTGTTACTTTCCATGGAAAAAACATCAACCAAAATAGCAAATTATATGGTCCCAACCGACCATCAAAACCCTTAAAAATTAAAGATATTAAGAAGGAATCGACATTGACTTTGTTATTGTCTCCTCAGGGTTCCCCTGGTGCGGATGGTACCCCTGGACTTCCAGGAAGAGAAGGAGAAAAGGGACCAGATGGCGATATGGGCATGCCTGGGGCTACTGGTCTGATGGGCTTCCCAGTAAGTATAGAATAAAAGTTTATGAGACATATACACCACACTATCTGTGATTCGGTGCACAATCACGTAAATGTTGGTACTGTAAATAAATGTTATCTAGATATCTCACTACTCCATCAGAATAGACGATGGTTGGTTTATACATAGCACACTTATGACTAAAGATTTCATCAACCAATAATGACAATTGACAAGGAAAAAAATTTTGGAAATTTGAATCTGAAGACACTTCTCAGCAAAATTGTATTAATGTGACGTTTCATTGAAAACGGTACTGTAAATACAGCTTGTTTATCATATACTTATAATCCACTCATGACCATTTATGATTCCATTTGCGAGTTAACGAGTATTTAGGGCGTCTTTGTGGTAAATATAACATGTGTATTGAGCGTTTATTTAGTAATTTCATGTTTTAGGGACCCGCTGGACCCCCAGGGTCACCAGGACCTGCCGGAGAGCGAGGTGTCAGAGTGAGTAGCTGTTCATTACGTCTTGATAACATGGTGATAACTAACTATACAAGAATGCGTTTGTATCGTGTTAAGGCAGGATATGTAAATGACGTTTGAAATCGATTAATACATTGAACTTCTGTACTTTAGGGCGAGTCGGGACCAGATGGATCCCAAGGGTCTCAAGGACCACGCGGACCACCAGTAAGTAGTTTTGCTTTCCTTTATGAAAATAGTTATATGTTAAATTATGTGTGTGGATTTATCATTAAAATTTATTCTCACTGAATTCGCAATATTCTTCTGATATGGTGTGCTGATTTTACATATGGTTGACTTTTTATATTCCCTAAAATATAAATAAGATATAGGAGTGTTTATTAGAAAGCAAAACCTCGTTAAACCTTGCCTTTGTCTCTAATTATACAGAGTCAAAGACAAAAGTAAACTTGATCGAAAGAATAGTAAAATTACACATTACTTCAGTTTTGAATCCAAAGATAACGAACCGAGATTTTACCCTAATGACTGATTGTTCAAATGCTATTTATAAAGGGTACATTGTTGTATTTTTATTGTTTTAGGGCCCATACGGACCACAGGGAGTATCAGGAGAAAGGGGAGACGACGGAATTCAGGTAAACAGAACATTATTTAACGAATTGGATTGAAATGTATCTGCTTAGCAAGCTTGCCTTTCAAGTGTCCTTTGCTGTAAGGGCTGAGAATGATAAAAATGAACTTATGTGACGTCATATCTATCTATGTAGTAATTTATTAATGTATCGTAATGGATTTATTTACATTTTCAACTTTTATAAATATTTTGTCTTTATAATAAAGGGTGACAAGGGAGACCCTGGTCTGATTGGAATGCCAGGACTTCCTGGACCAGAGGTATGTACACATATCGATTATATATATTATGTTATGTATATGTTATATATGTTATGCTTTCAAGTATATGGGTATTTATATTTCAAATAAACGTCATGATATTTGATATACATATCAATAACATCAGGTACGAATTCTAGTATTCATATTTAAGGTAATCGCCAGGTTCAATAAATAATCATCGATCAACATCTGATTGTATATGATTTACATGCAAAAGTGAGTGTTCTTTGGTTTGAAAACTGGGAATAGATATACGTCACACTTGTGAATAAAATCAAGTTACAATGAGTTCAAGAATTTTGATACTATATAATGAATTTGTCTAAAACAGGGACCTGCAGGTGACCAAGGAAATGTTGGACCTCCGGGACCTATGGGACAACAGGTATTTATAGTGTTACAGAAATGAATTAGTGAATAACTGTCTAAAAGAAGAACAACTAAAGTATATTCTTAAATACTGGAAATACAGGTGTCATTCTAAATGTAATTATACACATTCATATTTCATCGAAATCACGCCATCAAGAGTAAGAAATATCTATTTTTGGTTCCTGTTTCTACACAACTGGCACCTCGGCTTGAGTTTGATTAGTTTGAGATAATTGTAGCAGTGAATCATTATCGTATGGCACAGCAGTAAATGTATATCATTTCTGACTCTTTACATAATATATAAGCCTCGACAAGGAGAAGCATTATTGTAAATAAATATATAGTTGAATTGCTATCCTTGTCTGTATCAGAATGTAATCTCTCGAACTTTTGAAAAGTTGTATTCTTTTGACCTTAATACACTTCATTCCTTCTTCTTGATTAATACTGAATATCAAAATTGATACATTAAAAAAGGATACTAGAAAGACTAATAGTCCTCTCATGTCGGAATACTAAACTCAGACACACAACCAGTGAAATATTATGGATTGTCTGTTAAAGGGACCCGAAGGACAACGTGGACTTCCCGGTAGACCAGGTAACACTGGCGAAGTCGGACCTCCAGGACCTATGGCAAGTACCTCGATACACATTTCATTGCTTGCAATGACATTGATAAATATCATTATTCACTTTGATGCCTTGACGGAATCTAACATCCATTTACTGTGACCACCAATATAAAAACAAAAATCTATATATTCCAAATTCTATACATACCATCTATCTATAACCTATATGATGTATCAAATCGTGTTGATAAAAGAGCATTCTTAAATCCGCGACAGCTGGTGATCTTTGCCTTATAAGGTCCTATTGAGCAGATAAACAATGGTAACACGTAACGTATGCTTTTGTTAACAGGGACCACGTGGAGAGCAAGGAGATGACGGTCGATCTGTATGTACTGTTTATTTAACATTATTCTGAAAGTTATTTCATTCAGGGGAGGGGTACATAATCGAATCTCTAAGTAAGAATTTTTGAAACAATATTAGCCGCTTTTACGTTATAACTTAATGCCATAATTTATTCCTTCTTCTCGATCTGCAACGATATGACAAAGAATAACCATATTCATCAAATAATATTAGATACTAAGTTTTCTACTGTATTGGAAAATATCTAAGAAAAATCAAATACTGCGCAAGTTCTTAAGGAAACGTTATGTTGCATTCCGATAAAAAATACTTTTATCACTGTTTTGAACTAATTATTCTTTCATTTGTACTGTTTTTTATTATAGGGTGTGATGGGAAATTCTGGTCCACCAGGACCCCCGGTAAGTTTATAATTGTGTTGTATTGTTAACGATATGGCAAGGAAAGTTTTCATACAGATCAGAACAAACTGAAGCAAATAATGTTGGTTGTATTTAAAAGACCTAGCAATAAATCCTAACGATTGGTTCTACTACTAGGGTCACACTAGAGTATACAATATTCATGTTATGTAAATTTTGATCCTGATTTTCTCAATGACAGGGAGAGCCAGGGCGATCCGTTTACAGCCAGGCAATTTCTGGATGGTTCCATCGCTCTAACCTGAAGGGAGTGCAGGTAAGTATTTTATACAATTGCGTATGATTTAAGAACAACACGTTGACGTCTGTAACTTTCAATGTAAAAACACATGCAGAGTTATGCAAATCATCAGATATATATCAAGGCCGAACTAAATGGAGAGGTGCGAAAAGTAAAATAGAAATTCGTTTAGAACAATGATTTGGTAACACAATGTCATTATTGATGTGTGACCTGAAATTGGCACCTGCTACCATGAATAACAAACCATGTTTTTTTTTTTTCCAGGGAGACGAACCTTTGACTGAAGAGGTATGTATTACAGAGTACAACTAACCATATTAATATAAATTTAAGTTCTGAAATATACTAGGAACTCTGAAATAAATCCTAGACCTAACGGCACGGCGACCCCTTCATCACATCAAATATATTTACCCGTAACATAAATGTTTGCCACTCTTGCAGAAGATTGTAACTTTTATACAGATAACTGATACCATGCAAAATTAATTCTGAACATCTTTCCGATGTAGGACCTTTTCATTTCTACACAAAATGTGTTTCGCGTTTGCAGAAAATTTAATAGTTCTGTGAATAACACGAACATAATTCCCCCCTCCACTTTTTTGATAAAAATATTTGAATCATGAATATGTTTGTACGTTTATTATTTAATTTTAATTCCATCAATTTGACTGCAACGTGCAACGCTATGTATCATTTCTTATATTAATATTATAACAGCAAACCAACATTGTGGCTTATCTTGACTATCTTGGAGAGGAGTTGATGAAAATTATTCATCCACGTGGAGAGGAGGATTCCCCTTACGCCAGGACCTGCCTGGATCTCCGCATGAAGAACCCAGATTTAACAAACGGTTAACTACCTTTCAATGACGACATTAACTTTCATTTTCATTGTCTAGTTACATGTAGATAACACAATCGAAACGTCATACACTTTTGTAACTGTTTGTGATTTACGTAAAGTTATTCACATACATGTATGTATCCTTACAAGCCGAAAGGAAATAGTTTTGTTATCAGTAATGTACACGTGTACGAATATCTTTCAAATTGTTGACGATGTAAAGTTATATTCAAGATTAAGGGTCAGTTTGCTTGGCGTTAGTAACAACATGAAAACATATATGACATGGAGTTTTTTTTGTGTCATGAAGTTAGAATTGACAATAACAAAAAAAGTTGGTTATCACAAATATACTAACCTTTACAGGTCTTTATTGGATCGATCCTGATGGCGGTGTACCTTCTAACAAGATCCAGGTCTTCTGCGACTTCAGGAAGAGGACATACACATGCGTGCAGCCATTGTATGATATGGTCAGTATCAGCTTATATTTCCAATAAGAGTGTGGAGTATTGTTTTTTTTTTCTTACTTTTATGACTCGTGTACTGTTGAATGTCATCTTAGTGAGTGGTATTTTGTTAGTGGATTAAAAAAATAGTATTTACATCAAACATATGGTTATTGTATTATTATCGAATACAATGCTAATGGACTGTATACTACTTTCAGTACGAGAATCAGCCAGTAACAAAGGAGGACGGAGAGGACTATGCTATGTTTGCCCAAAAGACAATCAAGGGCAAAGAGGTTGGTGACTTATCATAAAAACACATAATATTGCAAGCTTATTTATATGAATATTTCATAGATTAAAAAAAGACAATGCAACATATACAGCGATGTATGTTGATCCTAAGGTTTTAGTTTTGAGAATACTGTCTTAATTGTACCCTGGTTTGGTATGTAATCATTGCACAATTCGTATCAATAGGTATAAATACATTGCGATCTAGGCTTTCACACCACGTAATGGACAATTTTCCTGTATGGCTATTATTACAATGTTCAAATATGCATTTTTGTGGATGCCGTGGTGGTCCAAATGGTTAAGTACAATGTCTTGGATAGGCGAGTTAGTGACGTAGTTCGAGGCCCAGATAGGGCACTAATAAAATTTGCCTTCCTTCTGCAGTTGTACTTCTAGTTTCAAATATAAATTAGATATACAGGTATACATTAGTATCAGAATAGGAATACTCACACAATAGTTGATCACTGATTGCACATGTAATTTAATATCATCAATTAATATCCTTATAGCTACAGTACAAGTCCAACAGGGTACAGCTGAAGTTCCTGCAGAAGGTCAGCTCTAAGGCCATCCAGACAATTGTGTACAAGTGCAGGAACAATGTTGCCTTCTATGACCGTACTGCGGACGCCTACAACAAGGCCATCAAACTCGTCACATTTGACGATACTGACCTTGGTGCGCAAGGCAGGAAGAAGTACAGATACAAGGTCATCAGTGATGGTTGTGATGTACGTATAACTCATTTTTTCTCCGACTTATTGAACATGTTATTTGTTAAATGGATTTGTTTCTTGATGTCAGCACCTTGTCGGAATGTTTCCATTTGGAAAGATCCAAAAGTAACCCGAAGACAAGTATTAATAAAACACGTATGGCAAAAAAGGAAATATATTTTTTCATGCAAATGTCTACGATGAATCCAGAAATGTTGTATCTATTAACGTTCATTTGAATCAATATACTTACTTAAGACAATAGACACGAAACTCCGATTTAGAAATTCGAAATAAACATGACAGGTCACTATCATTATGGACAAACATGTAACAATATTCTTGTCTAAACAGATGGCTGCCGACAGATGGGGAGAGACCGTGGTAGAGGTTAGCACCAAGAAAACAGAGAGACTGCCAATTATTGATGTAGGCATCAGCGATATTGGAAAAGCAAACCAAGAGTTCAAGATTGAAGTGGGACCTGTGTGTTTCTCTCACGAAAGTTAAATGATTTTTTCACAATTGAAAATGAAAATTTTGGACAATTAATATCTTTAGGTCATTTTGAGAACTTACTTTAATGACTCAAATTATTAAACGTAGAAAAGAAAAATTGGTCAATATCATATACACATTTTATTACTGAAATGACGCCGCATATGAAATGTACATTTTGTAGGGATATTTTTCCGTTGGGATGGGAGCATGTATATCATCATTGGGTTGGGGTTTTTTTTGGAGAATATCTAGCATGTTGGATGTTTGTGTGTGTGGGACCATTCCTTCGTTGTTTTCTTTTATCAGAGAAAGATAATATATCACGTGACAGGATGTTTAATGTATTCTGTGTATGAAAGTTGCCATGGAGGATGACGAGACGTGACGTCATCGTTAGGTGTACCACCTGCGGTCTGCCATGATACCGCCCCCGATGACGTCACGTTTCAGACCTTGTATTTTTATCTGTGATATACAGCTAACACTGCCATGATTTCAAGTACTGAAAGCTATAAAAAAACTATCAGACGTCTGAATGCTGTTATTTCATTGGTCGTTTACATTTTCATTTTTGAAGTAGTCTGACAGTACATCGTACTATATCATGACACTCGCTTGTCTAACCCTTTTCTTTAATAAAAATGAGAAAAAAATGATAAGATGTTGTTTCGTTTCTCTTTTCATCGATATATTTTAAGATATTTTCTTGACACAACCGCTGATACATATGTAAAACGAAATATTTCTTATTATAAAAGTTTGATACAAGTTAAATGAACTATGTTTCTTTCTTATTATTCGATAATTCAATATGTGCCATTCTGGGTAGAATAACTTATTTGGATTTTGGGCTTTGGACAGAAAAAAATTGACGCCATATTTATTAAAAGCCATTATTATTTTGAAAATCAGATTTTGTTTCACTGATTAAACATGATTTGCTCTAAGAGCACAATTGTCATAAATATTTCACGTATATCTAAGTTAGTAATACACGGACATCATATACTTGGAATATACTAACTGCTACCACAAGTTATCCATATAATATATAATATAATATAATAAATAGATAATTTTCTAAACACTAATTGATATTGGCACAAAATAATATCCACCTCTGATTAGTAGGTAAAAACGAACCAACGATGTGCTAACGCATTGGTATATGTATAATGTATGTCTCCGATAGATGATACTCTATAGTCTGCGGCCTAGTCGATCTATTTATAGACTGCGGCCTAGTCGATCTATTTATAGACTGCGGCCTAGTCGATCTTATTAGAGACTGCGGCCTAGTCGATCTATTTCCTGCACTATGAAGTCCATCCCGGCTGTGTCACAAAGCGGGTTTTCTATTATTATCCGGAAAAAGTTCACCAGTCCTTTGCTAGACAAGGGCTGATAGGCGGTCATCATTGTTCCCTCCATCATCATCTTTGTCTTTATTTGTGGTGCCACCTGGAAAATTACAGAGTTAAAAAATCAGTCACTTCCTGTTTCAATCTGCTTTGATCTGATGGAAAAACATTTGACTCATATGATCTATAATTCAATGATGAAATAGTGTGTTGATGACATGTAGTGTATATATACACGGAATATCATATTTGATAATGCCTGATGGTGCGGTTATTAGATCAAAGTGTTATTACACATTACATTTATTTCCCATATACACATTTTAAATGTGTAAATTGACTGTTTATATTACCTTAGCTACTTCCTTCCACCAATCATCGTTTTCTTGTTGGCCTCTCAGTCGTGGTGGAATGTACCAGAAACTTATGTTCGTACATTGAAACTGTAAATACACGTTTGATTATAGTATTATAACACATTATCATTAGTTTATGTCTATGTTTAATTTATGTCAATTATGTTGGAAACACTGCCTCTTTTGTGACATTTATTTTTCGCCCTAGAAGAAGTGTCGTTGACAAGACTTAAGTGCATGATATACATACGGATACTGTTTGATCAGCGGGTATGTCTATAAACTATCTTACCTCAGGTAAGACAAGCCGGAAGCCTTCTGTTTCTCTAACCTTTTGTGTCAAGTATCTAGAAAGAGATTATTTAAGAAGATACAATCGACATGATAGATCGCTAACGTTTTCAGGCCTAACGGTCTAACCGGTGCACTGTGTATTTACTACCACTATATACAGAACATTAATAACTATAATCAAAACAATAGTGTTTTCAATAGAGAAACAATAAAGAAATTCGGATTACCATTGCTTAATAAGTGCTTATCACTTCTTATCTATATGACAAGTCGATATAAACCTAGGCGAAGATTTGTGATAAAAAAGCATTTCCATCCTAATGAATCTCATGATAAAGAACTGTTTATAATAATAAAATGAGATGCGTTTATGAAGCAGTGCACAAATAAGACAATAAGGCAACGTCAGATAATCAGGTTGTAGGTCAAGCCAACCTTTATGTCAAAGGATGGAACTAATAAATATGACAGACGAGACAGACAAGGGTTGGGCGTAGGGAGATCGAGAATTGCTTTCAGCTTTTTCTATTTTTAATTGCTTTGAGGCGATTCAACGAATGAAATACATGAAGGTGTGACGTGAATAATTTGACGTCAAAATATTGCTTTGTACAAATGGGTTCTATACTTTGCCATTTCGAAGGCATGATCCACTCGAGCTGCCATGCCATTGTCACCATAAGCTTTCCATTGCATCCAGAGTTTAAGCACATCAGCTTTTCGTCCACACTGTATCGTTTTGTCACCTATTATTATATAATATGAAAACAATCTAAGTCCATTGTTAATTCCAGATGTCTCGTGATTTTATGTTTATCATGATGCTTTAATTAAGAATGTCAACGTAGCGTGTATCACGTTACCGATTCCGGATATGAGGAGATACATACATGTATCAGATGTAAAAACACCAATTCCACAATTACTTGTAATTCCACACGTGCAGTATGACCTAACGGAGCTGTGGTTAACTGAAGTCATACTTTTGTAATGTCATATGCATGATGGCTTAACGAAAAGAAGAAATGTTTTAGATATACAAAATAAACTTTTAATTGATTCAACAACATTGCAGACCGATTTTTGAAAAGTACTTGATGTGTGACAGATTTCATATAAATATGTTTAAAGTAATAGTATAAAGTGAGAAAATCCATACGTTACCAATATCATACGAGGTGTCATAACATTTGTCGGGTTGAAAGAGGTATTCTGCTCGGAAGGAATTGCATTGTTCCAGAAGTCCCTTCATCATACAACAGAAAAATCTGGATTTTCAATGGCAAAAACATAAAATAAAAGCAATATAATAATAAAAGTTAGTTAAAAATTGTAAAGCGTAAAATTAACTTACTAGTTATACGACTTAAATAACGTACTTCTTGGACGTTTGACCTAACATAATCCAATATAAAATTAGCTCTAATATCTCGGACTTTTTTGTTTTAAACACTTTGTTATGTAGTTGAAGTTATGAAGTTTTTAAAAACGCCATTCTTATGACGTTTAGGAGAATTTTCGATTGGTGGTTAATGTTGTGAAGGCGTAGTTGACGGCTTGATTCGGTTTAAAGCGTCAACAATTTAACGTTTTCTGGTTGTTAAGGTACTCCTCTTAAATATAATCATTGCAGTCGTTGGTACATTTAAACTAAATTTTGCAAGAAGTATCACCTTAAATCTCATATTTCAAATAAGTAAACTCCCTTTTGATTGACCATTATCTCGTATTTTAAGAATCCGTTATGAAATAGTTCAGCTTGTTAAAACTGGTTCTTTGGGTGAAATTTAAAAAAAAGAAAGCACTTGAGCTCCCTCGTTTTCATTCATTACCGATAGTTTGTTCCTGCACGTTTAATTGCTATTTTTGAAACTGTATGCGATGTGCAGAATACTGTTGTATGTATCAATATAAGTAATTGAAATAACAATAAACCACGTTAACCAAAGTATCCTCGTTCTCTTTCAACATAAAGTCTTTAAAGCAGTCTTTCAAATACTAGAAGACTGTCGAATAAAGGATTTAAGTCATTTCAGAACATTTCCAGATTTTTGTTGCTATGCAGTTTAAAAGTTAAATGAAATAAGGCCTAGCACATTGACATCATGTTTTCCTGAATATCCAACCACCATACCCCTACCTAGTGAGGAGAGACGAAGATCTATTTTAAAGGTTATCGCAAAAATAACAGAAAATGTCTGTTATTGAAAATGTGAAAAGGAATTAATTTTTGTTACACATATTTTGACAACTGCACCGTAAAAAGTAGTGCGGCAAGTATTTAATTTTTTGTTTTAATCTACTTTTAAAGCAATGTTTTGATATGATTTACAACAATCGATGCCTGTAAATGATATTTCGATGAAAAAATAATTAATTTTTCTATTGCCTTAAGTTAATATCAAGCCATTCACGGTTGTTAAGTATATACATCTACTCAAGTTTTGTCTGACAACCACATTTAAAGCACAGTTGAAAAATGACCGTCAAACTCGTGAGAGTTGACTTTTCGGTAGGTCTATAATGACATATACCGCGAGATTTTGTAGTGACAGTCCTTCTTTGAAATTCCATGTTTTTAAAGCTTTTATATAGGAATTATTAATGATCATTGACCCATAACAAATTCAAAACAGAATCGTGGATAGAAGTCAGTTGCAAGATCATTTTGCCTATGGTTTGATTGTTTTTGATTACGTTTAATTATAATTCCTTAATGGAGTACACTAGTAAAAGTTCGGACCGCTAAATAAAGAGCAAGTGGTGATTGTTACATAACAGTTTGAAAGCCAATGCTTGGTATAAAATTACTTTTGTTAGAATAAATTGGATTTGGTAGAAAAGTAATCAAGGACGACTAATTTAGCATGAAATATAAATTGTATATGACAATTAGTAATTGGTGTGGTGTGATAAAGTTTACCGAAAGAAAACGTTGATAACAACGGACAATGTTATATATCTATACCTTCTCTTTCATTAGAAGAGATGAGCACTGGACGGGAACACCGCTCATCTTATGCTGATTCCAAGCCACTGAGTCTGCCCTGATGTAAATACAAAACATAGACACAATATCAGGGCAGTAGAGTATCATGAGGTTTATGAAAGAAGAATGTAACGAACTGAATATTATTTTTGTTAGAAATTTGTGTTTAAAACGCCAAAAGATTAAAAAGAAATTATACTGAAATATAATGACTTAAATAATTATGGTCTGATGACTATGTAACTGTGTATAGGAAACAAAAATGGCATGCAAGAAGTTTTTTATATGGCAAAAGCTCGGTTCAATATAATGATATAAGAGAAGTTTGGTAGTTTTGACGATATCATATTCTATATCAGGGAACTAGCGAGTGCACTATGTACCTTTCAACTCCACTCATCAGTGCCCGGTGTTTATCAGATAAAATTGCACTTCCTCCCCAGGCAGCCTATAAGAAAAACATGTATCAGAATAAGAATATTGTGCCATAATAATGACATCTGTCTAAGGTTAAGTGGATATGATAATGTGAGGTCACCCTCAAATGTTGCTAAGTAACGGAATAAAAGACATAGTTCAAATGGTAATAACATATCAATAAATTTGAATTACATATAGGGATGTCTATAATGTTAATAACACAATATCTATGTTTCATTAACTAATTTGTGTTTTCTCAAATCAATTCTAATGTCGATAATATTATTAATTGAATGCTAACTCGGTTTACATAATACAATAATCACAAAGCACAAGTCTGTATATTTAAGAATACACAAGAAATGTGCGATGTTGTGACTGCAGTTAAAGTATCAAGGAATCCCAAATTAACCCAAGGTATACTAAATCATATCAACTAAATAACCACAGAACCCAACCCTATATATTATCATATCTATCAAATAACAACAGAAACCCAACCCTATATATTATCATATCTATCAAGTAACCACAGAACCCAACCCTATATATTAGCACATCTATCAAATAACCACAGAACCCAACCCTCTATATTAGCACATCTACTAAATAACCACAGAACCCAACCCTATATATTAGCACATCTATCAAATAACCACAGAACCCAACCCTCTATATTAGCACATCTACTAAATAACCACAGAACCCAACCCTCTATATTAGCATATCTACTAAATAACCACAGAACCCAACCCTATATATTATCATATCTATCAAATAACCACAGAACCCAACCCTATATATCATCATATCTACCAAACAACCACAGAACCCAACCCTATATATTAGCACATCTACCAATAAACAAGGAAACCAAAAGGTATATTAGGTCATTTCAACCAAATAACAACGGCAATCAAACTCTATATATAATCATATTTGCAAAATAACCGAGACAACTAAACTTATACATTATCATACCTACCCCAAAAAAGGAATTCCAATCCTACTTATAATCATAAATACCAAATGACCATGGAAACTCATCCTTGACATAATTAAAACTACCAAATAACCAAGGAAACCTAACCTTTACATCATCATAACTACCAAATAACCAAGGAAACCTAACCTTTACATAATCATAACTACCAAATAACCATGGAAACCCAGCCTAGACATAATCATATGTGCTTACATTGAACAATGCACAACTGAATTAAAATTGTACTAAAAAGTTTTAAAAAATTATGATACCAAAACAATGAGACAATGATGAACTTATAAATGACAATTTGTAGATGAATGAAACATACATCGACATGCATCCAAACACCGTGTTTCTGGCACACATCGGCTACAGCATTTAGGTCGTCATATGATCCGAGAACGGTCGAACCACAGGTCGCCATCACAAAAATGGGTTGTGTTCCCTTGAGGAAAATACAGGCATGTCATTATCAAGTATATGTATGTTTAAGGTGTAGATAACCTACTGATTTATTATTTTTAGACTAATAGATATATGCTCATTTCCAAATGTACTGATTTGGTTTCGATAGAAACTTAAAGCTGTTAGATACGGCACCGTATTTCATACTCCGTTTTGAAGTTTACTCTTGTTGTAGCAAATACATTTTACATATATAATTAATGAACAAATGCGAGCAAAACCCACCACAATTTCTATAACAGAAAACTTTAACACAAGGGAAAACAACAGGACAATTTCCAGAAATTGACATTCAGGGATGTTTTTGTAATAGGTTGAAATAACATTTGAAAAGTATCAAACTTGTTGTTAGCTTATATAATCAAAATATAGTTATTTTCAAATGCATTTTTTCTTATCCGAAAAAATGATGTGAATTCTCATTAATACCCACTTTTGACTTCTGTTCTGTGAGCTTTTTATCCAGGTCTTCGGGACACATTCGCCCAATATCATCTGTATCGACTCGGATAAGATTGTTCATTCCCATTCCTAAAAAACTGGAGCCTTTGGCCAGAGAGTAATGTGCCTTAAAAATAATTAGATTTTCTTTCATTCTACAACAACCATTCAGTTTTAATTTCTATCATACAGTAGCTGATATCATATTGTTACAAATGCTATGAAATAAAGACTATATTGTATCACTGGCTTGTTATACTATTTAATGCGGTAAGATATGAACAACATACTGCCAAGAGTGTTTTTTCTTTAAATCCATGGTTCCATTCAGATGTTCGATTATCTACATCAAATTATGTCAAGTTGTAAACTTAAAAAAGATAAATACTTTTAAGCAGGATAGTATACTAAATAAGATGATTTTAAAAGTCTAAATGCATCTATGATACATACATCTGTATGAGTGAACATTGTCATGACCTTCGAACCGAAATTCCCCGTCTGTTTAAGTGAAGGGTTGGACTTGTATCTTGCGACATGAAGTGCCAAGATATTGGAATATGATCCACCTGTAAAGCGAAAGTAGAGTTACCGATGACACGGTCATATTTGATTAGTGATTTAATGACATAAATCGGAACAAATTATGCTTCTAAATAAGTGATATTTTAAACAATTGCTTTACACGACGCGTGTATGAAAACGACGCACTACATAAAAAAAGGTAATCTCCATGAAAGGCAATGTTTTCCATCTCACTTGAAAACTATCTTATTCATCCAGAAACGAAGAACATTCCCCGTAATCAAGAGTTTCTCGGTCATACTTACAATACACAGCTATTATGAATACAGGCTCGATTATAACAAAGGTATTCTTTTGTCAACAAATATCACTTACCTGGACAGAAAACACCATCGCCGTTTGGAAATCCAAAAACGGAACACATTTTCTTCATCATGTATTTCTCCAGTATAACGAAAACAGGGGCTACTTCATATGTGTGCCTGGTGAAAGCAAATAGACGATTTATTTGAAACCCATACAACATACGTGTGTAACCGTTACTGATATCGTAAAAGCATTATCTATGGTCATTTTGCAACCAAAGATCAATTGTTAATATCTATCACTATGCTAAATTACTGTGGAATATGGATTACCGCTGTGGGTTTGGTGGCATTCCTGAATTTTAAGCTTAAACACAAGCCTTGTCTTTCAAAGCTGTAGTTCCATGATCCCGCGAAGTAAATTATAATTCATAACGGAGGTTAGTAATCTAGGAAACTCACGTTTCTTTAAATGGCATTATAGCACATATGATTACATTATAAGTATTCAACTCACAGATTGGTACTGAGGGCGTCAGTTAGCCACGCCCCTGCCATGCTGTAAGGATCTTTACCACTGTACAACTGATTATAGAACCGCGGATGACCTGGACAAAAATAACAATAAAAACATGGATTTGAAAGTTTAATCATCTTTTGAATATTTATTCTTTCTTGAATTTAAAGGCCACTTCTATTCTACTTTGAAACCCCAAACAGACGTTTTCCAGTCTTATCTGGATATATCATGAACTACATATATATTTTAGACTGTACGATGTAATTACCTAAAATAGCGTATGCAGACTATTATATATCTGAACAATATTGCACAACATTATCTTGAACTGTAAACAGGTCAAAAACGCCTGTTAATCATTGATGGATGACGATGTTGATATTTTTGTTTTGTCAACATACACTTTACAAATACCATAAATGTTACAATTATCTTACTACGTTTTCAGTGTAATGGAGATTGGTAATCAAATTTAAATCAAAAGGAAATATAGCAATTATACAACATATAAAGATTTTGTGCTTAGTGGCATATAGCACATAATAAACATGTGCTTACAAATAGTACTAATGATATTATACCTGTGTTTACAGGTAGTATAAAGGTATAATAGATGTATTTACATGTAGTATTATATACATGTGTTTACAGGTAGTACTACAGGTATTATATATGTATTTACATGTAGTATTGTATAAGTGTGTTTACAGGTAGTACTACAGGTATTATATATGTATTTACATGTAGTGTTATATATCTTATAAGTGTGTTTACAGGTAGTACTACAGGTATTATACATGTATTTACATGTAGTATTATATACATGTGTTTACAGGTGGTACTACAGGTATTATATACGTATTTACATGTAGTATTAGATACATGTGTTTACAGGTAAAACTACAGGTATTATACATGTATTTACATGTAGTATTATATACATGTGTTTACAGGTAGTACTACAGGTATTATACATGTATTTACATGTAGTTTTATATATCTTATAAGTGTGTTTACAGGTAGTACTACAGGTATTATATATGTATTTACATGTAGTATTATATGTCTTATACATGTGTTTACAGGTAGTACCACAGGTATAATATATGTATTTACATGTAGTATTATATACATGTGTTTACAGGTAGTACTACAGGTATTATATATGTATTTACGTGTAGTTTTATATATCTTATAAGTGTGTTTACAGGTAGTACTACAGGTATTATATACGTATTTACATGTAGTATTATATGTCTTATACATGTGTTTACAGGTAGTACTACAGGTATTATATATGTATTTACATGTAGTTTTATATATCTTATAAGTGTGTTTACAGGTAGTACTACAGGTATTATATATGTATTTACATGCAGTATTATATGTCTTATACATGTGTTTACATGCTATGTCACATCAATGCTATCTATGTTGTGAACAATAAAAATATTTTCAAACTCGTATTTTCTTTTCTCTATTCATTGATGTACAAATTAAGATAATACCTGTTTTAACGCTGTACTTGATAAGGTCACTACTCAACTCCAATAATCGGTCGTTTGAAGTAGGACCTTCTTGAATGTCAAGGTCAAGTAATTTCTGCAATGAACCGCAAATTCTTTTAACATGATATAATCAAAACGAAAAAGAATTATGATTAATTTAGTGTGATGTGTGATCAAGATAAAAGTCAAACAATCAAAATTTTATGTAACATTTGATTTTAGAGCAGATCTGTTTTAGCAAATAACACTGGATTGATATCCAACCTCTGTCGCTAGTTTGTGTTCGATTTTCCCAGTTAAGAACATGCAATTATATTTGAAAACAATCTTTCCTCTAACTCGAGTCTCTCTTCAATTTCCCTACAGTTGACTAATCCCTCTGAAATACACTCATACTCTCACCTCAGTATTTGTTCCATTGGCTTATGTTAAGAAGTACTATTGAAGCACTATCCTACCTATAAATGCAATGCGTTATGAGACCGGAATGCTTGCTTACCTCTAATTCCTGTGGTTGGACAAAGTTACAAACTTTATTGTTCACATCCTCCTCCGCTTCTATGGCTTCACTGATCATGAGTTTATGAAAATCTTCCATAAACTGTTTCATAGACGGGTCGGTAAAGGGTTTGTCTATAAAAAATAATGATATAACGAAGCTCTATATGACATCAGCACTAAAAAATTCTTTGTATTATGATGTTGGTTCATCTCCCCACTATTTTGAAATTTAATTATTTTTTGAAATTTTGATTTTCCCAAACGCCTCCTATAGATTTTAGTAATTCAAGTCATTTGCATCACGGACATTTGCTACAGAACAAAGTGGTACTGCATTAAATCCCTAATATACGCAACTGTCACTAAAAAAAGAAGAGAAACTATTTATATCGATGTTGTAATAATTTACTGTTTGAGATAGGCATGATCAAGAAACACGTATTTTCTCTGTAAGTACATTGTCTCAGGAACATTTTAAGCCATGTCTACCATCTGGCCGTTGGGGCTTTTGGGCGTGGCGCCATTGTAAAATACCCCCACCCCCTATTTTTCGATGATGATTTTTGCAACATAAATTTTGTTATATCTTCGCTAATTTTAGATCTAGAGTCATCAAGTTAGTCCCAAATAAAAGCTTATGACTTCTGCTTTAGTTTGATGCCAACATATGTCCACCAGCTTATTTGCATATTTATGAATATTAATGATCTTGTTCAAAATGGCCGATTTTTAAAGTAATACATGACATGCTTTTACCCCGGGTTTTCTACAAAAACGAGCATTTTTACTCATGAAGTATAAATCTGAAATCTTTTCTACAACCAAAGTTCCATAAGGAAAAATGGTATTTCGGTACTGAACTTAAACCCATCTAGTATTAAGCAGCTTAATTCAATATTTGGCTCTACTGTATCTAACGCTACAGCTCTATTCAAAGGAGACATTCGATGATGTGTCTTGTACAATCTTAGTTTAACTTTGGAGATCACTGGCTGAATTCCGTCTGTGTAATTAGACAACATTATTGCCAGAAAAGGATGGCTTGTTTTTATTTATTTAACGGTATTACGTCCACTATAACGTTTTCATATATTTACAATTGACTATAAATAGCATTGTCTAATCATAGTGATCACCTCGAAATAATTATAACAACGATAAAATTACGCTGATTGAATTCCAGTCCCGTCCGCAGATTGCGAAATTAAAATGACATAATAATGCGGGTGTAAATGTATTATTCATAATTCATAAATGTGATGTTATTTAAAACCTGCTTACTTAAAGATGCCATAGTTCGTTGGATGTTGTTGATGGGATTCAGTGATGCGTTTCTGCCGGTGACCCGAAGAGGTAGTTTTCTGATAATTTGGCGGAACATGAACTTTAGCAGCAGACACCTGTAACATATTAATTCGTTCACCTGTACATGTTACAGTCAGTAAAATGTGTTCAAATACTTGGTTACGGTTTTACGATTCTTCAGTCCGATCATGCTATAATCGAGTCTTGTATTTTGCCTTAACGAATTTCCATATTTATCAAGTACAGGGCTATTATGTTTACACACGCTATCGCCATCACCTTTAGTTCAGACCTGGTAACCTTGACACGTGCTCCTTGTCCCGTATTCAGCAGATGAATTGGTCAATTGTCTCGCCGATTTAAGAGCATTTTAAGGTAAATGTGTAAGTAAAAATATCTATGTATTTACCAAAGACTGTGTATTTCATTGCAGATTGAGAAAACATGTTCATCTTAACACCATGCAAGTATAATTTCCCGACGTTTATATTCATACTTACAAATATTCACTGAGAGTCCTGTAGGTCCTTTTCAGTTAGTAAGGTAAAGAACAGCAAGAAATACAAGCGGCGATGTATATAGTCAGTTTGATCATGCAGTCAGTGCACAGATCGACGTCAGGTCTGTGTTAGTGAGCTGTCGTCTTATCATAATGTAGGTCAGCTAGTATGGAGATAGCTTAGTATCACAACGGACAGTGACGTAGCGATACTGTATAAGCATACACTCGAATTCCATTGAGATGAGTTCTCTTATTTTTGTTTTTACTCTACTTTTGAAATCGTGTTGGTTGCTTTGTTCAATAAATATGCACATTCATGTATGTGTGTATGCATATAACATCAAACCATCATTTCCATGTAGTACATATTTTGATACGGAATATCTAGCCCTTCAAATATATTTGGTTCTGGTTATTGATATAACAATTCTATTTCCGGGTTATAAAGTTTATACCTGATTCACTTTCAAAATGGCATAGCGTAAACTTCCTGAACTTTTTAACGCTAATCGGATATGTGGAATATGTCTCGTGGTCAAAAGACAATTTAGGCAGTGAAAACAAGACGACAAACCTTTCTGATACTATGTCTTGTGACACATCTCGAGGCAAATATCAGCCTTCCGGGTATTAACCTCCTCATCATGATATCAACGTCATTTCAGAAAACGAACTGAAGGATGGCAGTGGCGTCGTTCCCTTTTGACAACAAAGTGGGATGCCGCTCACAAATGCAATTTTACAGTCAGATAAACAAGTTGGTGATTTTATTAAACAAATACCTAATATACAGTTATTTGTTTCTAAAACCAATTCCGTCAATGTCCCTAAACTCCTGGTTTAGGAAAAAGGAACTCCTAGCAAATATATCTATGTACTGAATATTGTAGTACTGATGTAGTGTTCGGAAATATTTTCCTTCGATTAAATAACTCCGGTGGTAACAAAGGGAAATTAAATTTGCAAAAGTACAAAAGAACTCAAAATATGAGTCCCGTCATCCATCCCATTGAACGTTGAGGAACTTGATGATCTAAAGGCCAGCAGACATCGTCACTTGTCTAAACATGATCACGCAGACCCTCAGCTTCGCTCCTGGACCCTATCTTAAAAACATATTCTAAAAAAAGTTGCTACGCCACTGACGGGCTGTCTCGTCATAGATGTGACAGTGTGACCCTGTGTTATGTATAAGAGACGGATCAAATACTAATTGAACATTACCCTTATTAGGAAAACATTCGTTAATTAAGCAACAGGCACAACATAGAGTAAATACAGTTGTGGTTGCGCACAACGCACCAAAACCTTTGTACGTACATTGTGCAGACATCGTGCGTACATCGCACAGATTTATTTACAATAATAAACTCTTCCTCTAAAATATGATCATGGTTTTGACAAGCTATAGCTAACAAAAATAATTTCTATATTTCGTCATTTTTGCTCAATAAAATGTATTGATGTAAATTGAATAAATATTTCTGATTAACTAAAATGTTTAAAAACTTGATGTATTAGTGTTTTCCCCTCAATACAAATCAAACATTTTAATTGACTATGCACATATAATTAAGCATGCCGTAAGTTGTATTTGTATTATTTTCCGCTTATTTGATACAATCAAATTGCAATTGGTATTAAACGTACACAACTGAATTATATCTATGAATTGTAATCAAACGTAGTTCAAGCGAAGACCATTATTACCTGAAAATGTTTATTTATAGAAAAAAGAAACAAGAATATGATAGGTTACAGTTATTTTCAGTAAATTAGATTTTTAATACTGGACTAAGATAGTTATCGCTAAGTTTCTGGTGTGATTTGGTCCTTTACATGAGTTTAAATTCGGCTTTATTTTGAGTCATTTATTTACGTTAAGTTTGCATGACAACCCTTGCATGTTAATGTATCTGGATAAGCGTGGAAACAAGTTGTTATCTTTCAAACATTGAAAATATATCAGAAGAAAAAAGTAGTTAATGAAAAAACACCAAAAATGTAAACTGTGTTATAACTAGTTTATATTATGAGTTATTGAATTAATGGTTTATTTCAAACAAACCAATCAAACACATCGTTTGACAAGTGAAATCGTCATATTCCTATTTTGGTAATGCCAACAAAAATAAGGGTTATACTACACGCAAAAAAGTATATTTTCTGAGATTATTTTTTGAAATGGATATTTACTTAACGATTTGAGGTCCGCACAGTATATATGGACTGAAAGATGTCATCTCAAAAAAATCAGTACGTGCTGACGAAGTCTTCACGCCATACCTGCCTTAATTGATCTGGATTTTAGCAGACAAAAAACATTAAACGACCATCACCTAAGACTCATATCGCATACCGCAAGTCGCCATGTCAAAAGCAAGGAGGTACTATATCTCTTAGCATGTAGAAGTACCACCCATTTACGACAACCACGGTATCATTCCGAAATGCATATTTCCGATTTCTTATCTGAACCTGGTATTGATTCTAAATATTTTGAATAAAAATTATATACATAGACACATGGCGTTTAAAATTGATATTGAAGATATACCAGGTGGATTTTTAATTACATTTATTTTACACATAAACGCCGGAAGTGAGAAGATGGGTATTACTTCCGTTTGCAGTCGGTCTAATTGCACCGAGCTCCGTTTTAGCCTGTGCTTTATTAATATATTTTTTACTTTATCTTGAGCATAAACATCTCAACAATACAAAGGACAATCTCATATTAAAGTGCATTCAAAATTAGCAAAGGCTGTTATACAAAAACACCCAAGGGAATTTACAATTTAAGTGTTTTTTATGTACGAACAGCTTGCAAATCATACTAGGTAGACGCTAACAAGGTAAATTGTGATAAACAAGCATGACATATGAAATTACCCGTGTTAATTCATTCTTTGATATTACCAGTTGATAACGATATGATAAATTTGTAAACAGAGAGCTAAACACGATGATATGATATATTTACTTCTTTGTTCACTGAAAGAGGGGCATTTGAGATCTTCCATTTTTAGAGGTTTTTTTTTGCCAAAAATTCTCACTGTGTTTTCTGCATTTCTCGGAGATTCCTGTAGATCATTACTTTTATTACTAGGTTAATTTTGCGTCACCACAAATCCGGTTTGATTCGTTGATTGTCAATAGCGTTTTTCCTTTTCCTGTATGTTAGGAATGCTTTTCTCGTGTATTGCTTTAATACTGTCATTTGCAAGGCCAGCAAATTGTTCTAAACTCGAGTTTCCTCTTGTATGCCTGCTATCTATTGGTGAAGTTTCTTAAAACCTTTACACGAATACCAACCGGCTTTGTCTGTACCGTTCACCGCGAATGATCATTATGGTGTACGTGACACGTCCCCAAAATCATCATCAACTTTTAAAAGCTATGTCAACGATCTTCTCTAGAAAAATAGAAGTAATAAGTACTGATTAATCTCGCTACTTACAAATATAAACGTGTGATACTATCTGAAAATGGTAAATTGATTAATTATGTAAACAAAAACAAATACATATTTCTCTATGTCGAACAGCAAGCTATCACAGTCATAATTTTTTTTATTATATTCACTTTTCTAATATATTCATCTCTCTATCACAATTTACACTATTTAAAAGTGGCGAAACTTTTCAAAAAGAACGCTTATGAATGATAACAGTCGAAATATAAATATAAAGGTAACTATATGTCGACTTAGGAATAAAGCCAGCAGTATGTTGTTTTGATTAATTATTTGAATCACCGAAGCTAATAAAGGCTTTGCCTGATATCCTAATATATATTTTTCGTAATAGAATTTGAAATTGACATGCTAACTCCTTACTTGAAATGGATACCTTTGAAAATCGTTTCAATGTATGTATAAATATACATGTATGTACCAGTATTTTATTTTCAAATCCTACTATATTCACATTATCGTACTTTTGTAAATTGATAACTTAGTTCTATATTAGGCTAGACTTATGGAAGTCGTACGAAGAGTGATGTTGATAACATCATTTATAAGATAAATTTGTGATATATTTTCCTACGCCAAATTCTCTCCACAGGACGTTTATTTTCGTAATCCTTGTATCAAAATACTAGTCTTATCGCATATTGCATATCCACAGTTGGTGCTTAAGTTCCATATGGAGACAGATGGTTCAGACTGTGCCGTAGTTGAAGCAGAAGATGCATACTCTTCTGGAACACCTGGTCTTATTATCCTTGTACGTCATCGTGCGTCACCTTTCTCTTGTTAATATTTTGTCCTGATTTTATTGAATTTGAGTCTGGATTATGATTATGTTGGTATTTCTATTGTCAAGAAGGTAACATGCAATTCCCGAAAGCTTTATTTGACAGGATTCAATCTTCTATGAATTTTTCTTCGTTATCAGAACCTAACTTTTATCCATCAGGTATCAGTTACCACAGCTAGTATTAAAGTAAGGATAGTTTTACAGAGTAGTGACTTATTCACTTTCCTAAATTTGTTAGAAATATCTGGCGTGAACCGAAAATGGCCAGGAAATCTTTTTTCGTTGCACGTTGTAATCTGTTTAGCTTAAAATAAGTATGACTTTGAATTCAGATAACACTACTGCGTGCAGAAATTGGCAGCAGTATATAACAATTTCGTTCTCCAAAACAAGAAATGGGTTAACTGGCTCCACGACAGGTTACAAAAGTATTCACTTAGCGACAGTTTACAATATATCAACGCATTTTATAAACACGGAAACATTATTGTATCAAAGTAGTTTTTAATATTCTATAGGTTACGATAGAACAACACAAACGCATGTGAACTTAATAAACTTTATTTTGTTCCCCGATAGCTACTGTTTAGTGTTTGAAATGACGCCGCATGAAAAATGAATTTATAATGATGAAATAATGAGAGGTAGAAAAATAAAGTATGCGAATTATGTCCCCCTAACCAGAAGTAAAGACAGATTTTAATTGTAAATGTTCACACCAACACAGTAGACAGATATTTGATTATTCCCCTTTTTACAACGGCATATACATGCATTTGCATACCTATCCTGTTTGTTAACCTAAACAGGACACATATTTCATTCCCCTATAAATATGCATAGACAGAAAGGAAAGACGATGAAACAGTGATCATTACATATGGACGGATGTGATAAGGTTATCTCCCTTTATCAGAATAAGAGAACATATAACATGGGTTATCAAGTTGCTATGATTGCCCTTATATTCCATTATATTCCAATTTGCCATGAATTTGAATTTTTGTAAATATGCATTTCGATATTAACCAATTATGTGTTCTCTTGTTCTTAAAATCAATAAGTATCACCAATTCATCACGTATTCACACATTTGCTCATATTTACACACATTTGCTCATAGTTGATATTTTACCAAAGAAAAATGGTCCCGCATTTTTCGCTGTTATTAATTGTTTTTCAATAAAGATGTTATTTTTGCCATGATTTATTATGCTGTTTCGAGACTCTCATTTGTGTTTTACACCATCAATCGGAAGATGGTTTGATTTCAAATAATACACCAAATGTGTGGCATCCTGCCACGATTTCAAGTACCAAACGTCTGCCATGATTTCAAGTAAATGTTTCAAAGAATGAAGATTAGATTTATCAATTTAATGAGTTTAGTCTTTTTTGAAGCAAACTTCGCCTAATACTATTTTAAACTCTGCGTTGCTACCGTTAATATCACTTTCTTCTATGTCTACATCTAATATTGGCAGGGCTTCCGCTTTCCTTGACTCAATGCTGAATACCTTCTGGCCCCACTGGCTTGATCTCTGCAAAGAAAGAACAATTAATATTACATCGCTATATTTTAGATTTTTATGGTATATCAATACATCGCTGCTTGGCCATGTCCGGAAAGATATAACCTTTGACGTGATAAAAATATGCTTTGATAAGCAAACAGAGAATGGCTAATTACTTTTTAGATAATAACTATACCATGAATTTATAATGTACTTCTGTTACTTACACCACAGTTATCCTCGAGTACGCTGACGTCAACATAGCGAGGCTTGGCACCGATTGGCTTGTTGGCCATGACATTGCAGCCGAGGAAAGTCTCGAAGGAGGTGGTGCTGTGGGTAATGTCATGATTGCGACATTTGTATGTAATATTTTGTCTTGATGATTCGCTTGCGTCTTGTAAACTCCTGATTTGTCTCTTAGTAGCTTTGTAATAGAACTGAAAATGATAAAAAATATATGTAGTAGGATGATATTATCATGAATGTGTTTATTGATTGATATATATGTAAGTTATATATATGCAGTCATTGAATGTTCTACCACTGAAGACCAAACATCCAGAACCTATTCATCCATTTTCAAGATGGTGTATCGGTAAAATGTTTGAAATTTAAACAAGAACGATATTTAACAGGTGACAGTTCGAAATCTAGCAGTGATTAAAAAAAGAAAAAAAAAACAAAAAAAACAAAAACAAAACAAAACAAAAAAACAAAACAAAATTAACGATATCTATTTAAAACGCAACTATTGAATTCGTCGTATTATATATGAAAACTGAATAAACTTAATTTTATCAATTATTATCCTTTGTTAGAGCATACATATTAAAGAAAATGTTTTGCTTACTTCTTTTGTGCTTCCAATGAATGATTCAACAGAGTCCCATGTTAACTGTAAATAAAAAATAGTTTAATTTCAATCAAACAGAATGCAACACATATACGTCAGAATGATATTTTCACAGGCAATCATGTTTTTATTTGTTTGTTTTTTAATTTCAACATGTGTTATATAAGTTTATGGAATGAGTAATTTTTTAATGCCATGAAGTTTCAGAAAATGTAAACAAATCACTCCATACATGAAATGAATGCGAAAGCAAATATATAATACATATCTCATTTAAACGTTCAAATGAGTTCGCATGGAACGTTTCATCGGAGGGTTTGGGTTAGGCAATACCCTTTAATTCATATGATGCTTTCGAATAATCATTTAGTTAAGAATATATACAAACCTCATTTTGTCCTGGTACTAAGCAAGTTTCTCTGGTGGAAAATCTACAGTAGGCACGGATAGCGTTGTTGATGTCTTGACCATCAGGATCAATCATATAAAATCCTTGGAAAAATATAATGTAATACAACTGGTTATGATATACGTTTTATTTTTTTCCTTTCTCGACAAATATCTGCCAAAAGACTACTTAAAGGTATCATTAAACATTTCTTCATCTGTAGAAATCAATTTACTTCAAACCTGATGAAAGTGAATGATTGTATAAGTGTGAACTGAAGTCGAAGTGTCCTCTATATGAATGCTTTTTTCCACCTACCGTTTTTAAGTTGTGCTTTAGCTTCATCAGTCTGGGTATCATAAAGGTGAGCACAGTCCAAGGCTGGTGATTTGCTTGTGCCGTCAGGTTTGTATATATGAGAGATAGACTCTCTTAAACTAAGCAGGAATGTGGATGGAAGTTCCTTTAATGATACAAGTAAATTACAGTTAATATTTGCAGACTATATGCCCAAATATTGTATTAAAATTATTTACGCTTTTAATGTGTGTCAAATCATATCATTTTGCACGTGATTTTGAAACCACTGATACCTTTTCCCATCTAACAATTACGACAAACATGCAGTTCAGATTTAGAATTTACTTACCTTAAGAGCTTCATCGTACATCTGGAATGAGAGAATATCAAACTGTATAGGACTTTAATCATTGAAAAAGTATTCATTATTGTAATATGAAAGGAAAAATCAAGACGAAATTTGCATTGTATCAATGTTTTGTCCTGCTTTCAACTGTAAAAAAATTGTCATTTTTAAAATGTTCCTTTCATAATTTAATTTTGCTGAATATAAAAAATATCACTTACGAAGCTTCCTGCCTTCACTGGCGCTGCTGCTCCGGCACACATTTGTCCGAATCCCTTCAAATCAAACATACAACATTACAATATATTCATAAGTTTTCAGATAGAAGTTGTCTTATCATTTTGTTCTGTTAAATGTATATATAATCGAAAACCTACCATAATATGTATTTTGGTATTTTAGTGACATATATTAAGAAATCTTACTGGAAATATCCCTCCATCTTAAAATCCATTCATATGTGAAATCTTCTAAATGGATTATGTACGTTAGGTTATTTTATCTATGAAATAAGAATCTCTTCATCACTAAGTTACAGCTGATGTTCATTGTCTCTGTTACAAGAGAACTATTTTCTATACTTTGTACTACAACATCACCAAACTACTCCAATTACACTTAATGTGATTTTGGAAACTGAAGATCTCTTTCTCTCTCTCATCCCAATAACTCACTGGAGGTCCTGGAGATCCACGTGGTCCTTGAGGTCCAGCAGGGCCCTGCAATGCAATGATGATGTGTCAATAAATGGTTAATGGGAGTTTATCTATTCATTACAACAATAATGAAAATTTGGATGTCAATTTCTTTCTTTAACCTTGATTTTATAAGAGGTGTTACAGAAACGATTCAATTTAATCAACTCGATAGTGAGAATTGAAACTATTATGCTCAGGAACAATAATAAACGTACCACGTTTATTAGTGTTTGTACAATCAAAATATAAACATTACTATTCGTTAAATATTTTTGATACTTACACTGTCACCATCATTTCCGGAAGGTCCACGTGGTCCCTTGAAAGCAGAACAAAAAAGATAGGGTAACACAAATCTTAACAAACCATGACCATTAAATTCATCCTGTATCATGAATTAACCATATGAAGTAGTAACATTTTATAGACTATTGTGCCAAGTTTTTACCACATATTTTTCCATGAAAAGAGCGTGATTTTACTACCACAAAATGAGAGAAAGATTTACCTGTGCTCCTGTTAATCCTTGGGGTCCTGGCTCGCCATCGCGTCCACTTTGTCCGCGTTGCCCTTGGATACCCTGAAATCAAAATTAAAAAAAAAAAAACAATAGGTTTGTTCAAATCCAATCAGATTTCACTTTTATCATTCAAAAATAAATTGCACTCTTTGACGTGACTGACCTAAATTCTCGTCATTCAAAAGACAGAATTTGTCGGTCATTAATATTGCCATAAGGTATACTGATAGAGAAATTAATGAATTGCGAATTCACATATGCTAATTCATCCGTCTAGAGACTAATAATATCGTACAAAAAACATATTAGTGAAAAGCACCTTTTCATAATTAACTATTGAGATATAAGATAAACATGTTTCAGTTTGTTACTTTAATTATGAACGATGTCCACTTACTGGCTGTCCTGGTGGTCCTGGAGGTCCAGAGTGTCCCATTTCACCAGGGTTTCCCTGTCAGACAAATGGTCAAAACATTTTTTTTAAAGAAAAAAGATATGAATGAATTATGAAAAATTACAATTATGAATGTTTTATATAAGATAAACTTTGCGCATTGTACTGTTGATTGATCATAGATAGAAGCAACTGCTCGCATAAGACAGTGAAGTTATAATTCCCCTTGTCTTTTCTCATTTATCTATTTTATTGATAACCAAGTTATTTTAGAATAGATAAGAAAATGATCACAACATTTATACGATATCAACTCACCTGAGGTCCTTGCAGTCCCTGTCCTCCAGGCAGACCTGGCCATCCCTTATCTCCCTGATTTGAAAGAAATAGTTGAATGAAACCTTTTCATACTTATGTTAATAATGTATTGGAGGAAATTGAGCCAGGTAAATCAAACATTCTTACAAAGAACATGCTAGGATATAGTTATGTAATTTTATCTTTATTTAAGCTTTGAGAATTAATAAGAATTTTTCATACTCTTAAACCTGGTGCTCCAGCGTCTCCCTTGTCTCCCTGAGGTCCTGCTGGTCCCTGTGATAGGAGAAAATGAGTCATATCTGTATCAAACATTTCTTAAGTGCCTCCCCTCCTTTTAAATAGCATCGCAATGATTTTTGTTTTGTTTTCAGTTAATGTCATATGTGATGTAGTATCACATTAGAAAATAAAATATGCAAATGGATTCACCATAGAAATGATGACACCATACATTTAATGCTTATAAAAATGATGATATGATCATATTATCGTTAAATGACTATACAAGCAAAAAATAAAACGTTTAAATATATTATGTAAAAGAGATAAGAATAATTTCACAAATTCAATTCATTGGCAAATATTCAACTTGTTGTAATTGAAATTAAGTTTTATTGGCCTCCTCAATAAACTTCATTAAAATACCTATATTTTCTATGACAGGTGTATAATATACACATTTAAAAAGTTTATGCCAGTAAACTAACATCTACTCAAATGTTGAAAATCATTTATTTACAGAGTTACTGAAATTACGTCGGCTAATGGCACCGCGCACTTGTACATATAATCACCTGTGTTCCTGGTTGTCCTGGTGCTCCGACTGGTCCGCTCTCTCCTGCTGCTCCCTAAAACAATTACAGGTTATAAGTAAGTTAAAAGCGATCATCTGGTTTTAAAGATTTCACTAAAATATCAAAATATGTTAAACAATTGTGCAACAAATACATGTAAACGCGCACTTTATTTACTCACCCTCTCTCCTCGTTCACCCTGAGCTCCTGGTGCACCTGTAGATCCCATTGATCCCTAGAAATAATGATATTAAATAATAAAGCCATTATCTTGCATTGTAAATGATTTCATCAAAGATTCGAGTATAGATATAAAGTTTTGTGAATTTAAACCTCAATCGTACACCAACATAATCATCATGACTCTCAATAAAATGCTGAATTATAGCTTATCAATGTTATTTATTTATTTATTTTTTTTTGTACGTTTTTAGTTTTACCCATTAAAATACATTTAAAACGATAACGACGAGGTGGTTGTTGAAAATACTGGCGGTGCTTTCTAACCTGTGGTCCCGGTGGTCCCTGGAGTCCAGAGACGCCCATTGGTCCTCTGCTGCCCTTGGCTCCGGTAACACCTGGTGGTCCCATATTGCCATCCATACCAGGGGATCCCTAAATGAATAAATGTATCAACTGAGCATCTCTTTACTAAGGAGATAATTGCCATTATTACTAAGTAAGTTATGCAATTATCTGATGTACATAAGAGCAAATTGTGGTAATTTATAGAAATATGCATGACATAGATTTTTGGGATTTATTTTAGCAACGGTACATGCTACAACATCAGATTGCACAATATCTTGATTCTTTCGTTATCTCAATTGCGATATTATGATTAAAATAACTAAGTTTACGTTATATACCAAATTACGTTATGTTTCTAGACATCAGCAAATTCTGATTCAATAAATAACATTTTTTCTATACAAGCATTGGCCGAATTTGAATTATTTACTAAGAATCTGCAGTTGCGATACAAGGCATTGAGACTGCCGATTAAGTGAAATATGATATCATTAATATATGTTATTCTGAGAAATTTTTATTTTTGATGAAAACGAAACGTTTAAAATAGCAATTGCTCTTTCTTTCACGGTATTTTGTCTCTAGCATTGGATTAATTTTGGTCGTTAAATATAAAATGTGACTTGGGATCTGATTAATGGTACATTCTATTGTAGTTATTGGTTCGGCAGTTCTGTAGTGTTACAATGCCAGACCGACAATGTCCTTTCCTTCAAAGGGTTTATGTTCATAATGATTTTTAGCGGCCATGCCCTTCGATACATACTATGCATATGCATTTCAGATAAAGAATGTAAAAACATATTAGTTTTAACTTTTAATAGCTTTTATTTTGTCTATATATATATTCTTATTTCACGTAAATTTTTCCAATCTAGTATATACAAAGGCTTTGTTACATACGGTCTCTCCAGGCAGTCCAGGATAGCCGGCGCTACCCATTGGTCCAGGTGATCCTGGTGGTCCTGGGATACCGTCCAGTCCATCTTTTCCTGTATTTCCTGTTTCACCCTGAGAATAAACGATTATATGGCTATGATAAAGAAACGATTTTCAAATCATTCCACTTGTCTTACATTTTTGTTTTTATTCCATTTGTCGAGACATGGTACGATTTTTATTGATATTGCACTGTAAACCGGATATTTTATCATATTGCACCGCTTTGTTCGATTTTTAATAGATGGGAATTCCTATTTACGTCACGAATCTTTTTAAACCAATAAAAAAGGACTTCTTCAGCGCCCTTCATTTGTGATTGTAAACACTGTGGCAGACGGTCAGCAAGATATCAATGGGATCTGGTGGATTTCTGGTTAAAAAAATTTGTAAGACATGCAATAAAAAAATCCTGCACTATTAATAGTTCAATATGAGACTTTTTGGAGTACAAATATATATAAAGATATATTTTTTGTACTCCATAAATTCTCATATTGAACCAATAACAGTGCAATAATAATAAATAATTTACTTTATCATTATGAAATATTATGAAATTATATACCATGACGATATACAAATTACAATAAGTATCTAATATATTACGGATTAGGTTTCTCTTGGAGTTTGCAGATGATGGAGTTGTTTATTCTTTATCTGATGAAGGGAGAGATTCAAGAGAAAGTATTTGAATTTGATTCTTATTTAACTGCCATTATTCCTACACGCTGATTTGTCAAACTTTATTTACCCTCAAAGGTGATATATACTTTCTTGGGTTAATACATCCTTGAATTGGTCTGAAAACATAATTGTATTATATATGAAAGGTCGTTACCTGTGGTCCAGCCTCTCCTACAGGTCCAATTTCACCAGGCATACCAGGGAACCCTGGTCCACCTCTCTCACCTTGAGGTCCAGTAGGACCAACAGGCCCTTGTGCTCCCTGCAATCGTATGTTAGACAAGCGATTTAATTATAACTTCTATATATGTATATATTTGAATGATATTTTCCATGTTCTTATAATCACCATCTTAATTTATATATATATAATCTTTTTTAACTTTTGTGAAATGACAAGTAATACATTAATTTTCACATAAAAACGTCTTACAATTTGTCCGTCACTTCCTCTATCTCCAGGTGCTCCGTCAGAACCTGGGAATCCAGCTGCACCAGGCGTGCCAGGAGGTCCTGGTGGTCCGATCTCTCCACGATCTCCCTGAAAGAAAGTTCATAACAATTTGCTCCAATAATAGTTGTTAAATATGGATAGATAAGTATTTTGTAAATACAAGCGTTATAAAATGTGATAGTATATATGCTATCAGGATAGATACAATAGCGGTCATTTGAGTTCTATAAAATCTCTAGTTGTGTTGTTGTAAATAAGATCTTATCTATATTGTAGATTGTAATATAAATGACAATTTTGTATAACATCAGTATCAGTCCATGTTAATAATTATAACCAAGTTGAAAAGAATATCATTTATGATGAAATTGTGGAGGTTTCCGTTATTACCTGCTCTCCTGCCCTACCGGCTGGTCCAGCCATTCCGGTATTTCCCTTCTCCCCTGGCAAGCCACCGGGTCCTGGCCTGCCTGGAGCACCTGGGGAACCAGCCAGTCCCATAGCGCCGGTCTCACCAACAGCTCCTGGAGCGCCGTTAAGTCCATCCTGACCCTGTAAAACGGGTAATGTACGTAAGTCACAAAACCATTGTAAGGATTTTCAGCAATGAAAAAAATATCGCTTACGATCGAAAGACGCTAAAAGTTACATCTGCGTGCAGTCTGAACCATAGTAAGTAAAATATTGGGTTTGAATTTTGCCGAAGTAATTGTAAAATAGGAAAATAAAACATTCTAATTCAAGAAAAGGTATCAGCCGTTAAAAGCCACAGTCTTTTGGAATATCAATACCAAATCAAATGAATAGATTAGTACAAACCAGCCTGAATTAAACTTACATTCAACGGGACAATAAATATTTCAACGAACATTTCACGGCTTGCACAATGGATAACTGCTCTTACTTAGAACAGCAAACTAATATGGGAATCTTTAGGTGAAAAAAATGAGACTTACAGCCACTCCGGTAGCTCCAGGTTCTCCTGGATATCCTCTTGGGCCTGCGTCACCCTAAACACAACAACATCGAAATATATATTATAACAGTATCATTTTTTTTCTTCACGAAAGAACGTCGAAACATATGTTTGTCTAGTATGCTCCTATGACTTATTAATTATATCGTTAATATTTACAAAAAACTTCAAAATGAAGAAACATCCTTGCGCATATGGAATAACGGCATGACTTACTCGTGGTCCTGTCTGGCCTGGGTCTCCTTCTGGTCCGCTCTCGCCTGGTGGTCCCTAAAGGAGGAGTTTATGCGATTTTGAAAACCAAGTTATCAAATATTCATTTAGTGAAAACTGAATATTTTTAAGCGAATGAAAATATATATTTAGATATCATTATGTTATGTATTAAGCATTTTAGACCTAAACACACCTAACTTTTATCGTTTATATATGACCTTGTCTACAGCAGTTTGATGGATTTACTTGTTCATTCAATTAAAATGTATCTATTGAAATGTTATTTGTGTGTACCGATGGTCCTATTGGTCCCAATGCTCCTGGTGGACCAGCGTATCCCCTTGGTCCTCCTTCTCCAGGTTCACCTGATGCTCCGGATTCTCCGGGTGGTCCGCGTTCTCCCTTCGGTGGCGAGATAAGGCTGGCAGGTCCGATAAGTCCTGGTGGTCCTGGAGCTCCTTGTTCTCCTTGGAGACCTTGGAGACCGGGTGCTCCAGCCTCACCGGGTTCACCCTTTCAACAAAAGGCTATTTAATATGTAATTACACACAAACTGATCTTGATCTTGAAGTTAAAATTTCAAATTACTGGGTAGAATAATACAAATGGTTTAAAGTTTCATTCTGTTCAGTGATTTAAACTTTCCTTCGTCTTTTTTCGTTCATTTCTCGTTTGTGTTTATATATTATGTTGTGATTAACATCAGTAATGAAATATTACTTTTTGAAAACATTCCAGATCAACTCATAAGCGAATATATTGGCACAGAATGGAACACATATTACAATGTAAGCAAGAATATCCACGCGCTTCTTGTCTTTCTTGCATATAAATAACTTACAGTGAAACCTTGTTTTCCACGCATTCCTGGAGCTCCAGCCTCTCCTGGAAGTCCCTGATAAAATAAACAACAAATACTATATTTTTATCCAGGCGATGTATCAAAAATGCGATGATTAAAATACATGACTTAACAACATGCCTATTCAAACATTATGATATAGAACCATATAATCTACATATGTTGAAATTGTTCAGGGACTAACATATTTTATGATTCCTGTAATTCACTCCTCTGTTCTGACCAAAATTGAAAAACATCGACAAACCATTCTGCGTAACTTCGAATTCTAAGTGTTATCTCACTTACTACGAGTCCGGGAGGACCGCTATCTCCACGTGCTCCTGATGGTCCAGGTGGTCCCTTTATAAAAAAAACGTAAAAGTTTTTATTCCCAGTGTGAATAAGGTTATGTAATAATTATAGTATAATGAAATATCATTAAAGTCACTTTGTGAAATATTGTAATAACAGCTAAACTTACAGGTTGTCCGATTTCTCCTGCTGGTCCCTCACCTCCTCTCTCTCCCGGGGCACCAGTAGGTCCAGCAGGTCCTTGTTCTCCAGCGAATCCTCTCTCACCCTGTCAAGCAGTACATGATACAGTAACAAGGAGATTATGCTTTAAATCGGATATATATTTATAAGTGTTTTGGAGAAAACATAAGATAATCTGTATATAACTCACTCTGGCTCCGGCCTCTCCAGGGACTCCAGGCTCTCCCATGATGCCTGGTTCTCCGGCTCTTCCAGCCTCTCCTGGAGGTCCAGCTTGTCCAGTAATTCCCTGGTAACAACGAATACTTTACGTCATTTATTTTTTTAGACATATGTACATAACATTTGAGAAGTGTTTTTCACATGAAAGACAGATTATTTTGTGATTGTAAAATATATATTAAATAAACATACATTAACACAAATTGGAAATTAACGAAAATAATATTTGTAAGTACCACCTCATTAAATACCTGCTGATTTGGCTTTAAAATTTATTGGTGATAAGCGGCCAGACAGTAGTATTCAAATATACTAATGTTCTTAATAAATAGATAGAATTGGATTAAAACACAAAGTGATATACTTTGAACATGAAGCACGATTTACCATACCTGGAATCCTGGCTCTCCAATAGGTCCAGATTCACCACGTTCTCCTTGTGGTCCCTATAAACAGTACATATCAAGCAAGCTTATTGTTGATATCATTTCAAAATTGAATAAATAGAAACAGTTCATTAACCAACACATAAAAAATTGGTCTGTTGCATCTTTATTTTCCATAAATAGAATCAATAATTTTTTTAAGTTACCGTGAGTAAGTAGTGTTAACTTACGGCAGCTCCTGGTCCTCCTTGAGGTCCAACCTCTCCTGCTGGTCCCTTCTCACCACGTGGTCCAGGCCTACCTGTTGGTCCGGAGTCGCCAGGTCGTCCAGCGCTACCCTACAATACAAAATGAAAGAAGATATGCGAACGAAATTGGTGCACATTTAATTGGTTTATTTTTTTAAATAGATAGTGGTTTCTATTAACAGGTTGTATATTTAAAGGCATTTATTGCTTTTCAAGGTAAATCGACCAGCTAGGTATTAAATGAGACTTGCAGCAAACTTAAGCCCGTATGTAGGTAAAACACACGTAAAGAGTATATGTACTTTCCCATATTGGTTCTATACCTCATGAAATGCGAAATGACTTTTTTAAAACACTTTTACACGCAGATTTATATTACTTGATGCATAAGGAAGGCATATGAAAGCCTGATTTCATATTCTCACAAATGTGAAATTGCAATGCTTCCATTTTCAATAATTATAAACCTCAAGTTATATACATAAATCATTTGGCACTTGTTTTTTATCTTTCGTTTTTCTTATTTCCCCTATTAGAACGGCAAATATACTTTGTACTTACGCTTGATGGTTTTCAAAACGTGTTCATTTTGTTATGATAAAAATTATCAGATACCAAACATGATTAAACCAACCTCATCTCCCTTTGCTCCGGCTGCTCCTGGCAGACCAGGTACACCTGCTGGCCCTGTGGGTCCTTGCTCTCCTGGCTTTCCAGTATCTCCTGGGATTCCCTAAATACGGGGAAAAAACATATCATGAAAATATGCAATTTGTTGCAGAGTTGCATAGCAGTTGGATCCATTTATACCATGACTACCATGACAAAAAAAAAAAAAAAAAAACGAAACCAATTAACTTACCGCTGCTCCAGGTTGTCCAGTTCGCCCATTGTTTCCACTAATTCCTGGTTGTCCCTATCAACACATTTAAAGACAAATACAAAATTCTTATAATTAATATATGAAGATGACAGATCAATTCTATTACAAAATCCTACTTCTTAAGCTTATCTTACTTTTTGAAAACCGCGCTCCAAGATGCGGTGAAATTGGTATCGATATGTATGTCAATATGAACGAATTACAATAGTCCCTTTCATGTTTAAAGGGAAACCTTTTCGACATAACTTACCCTTGGTCCCGGTGAACCAGGTAATCCAGCCGGTCCTTGTTGTCCCTGTAATGAAAACCAATACCATAATCATAACAGGTGTTAATCTTCAATCTCATCACCCACATAATTCCGTGTAGATAATATTGATAACTCTGTTTGGAAAAAATGTGGCGATACAAACAATCAAACCACTCCTTGGTCCCGTATTAATTTCATTTGTATTCGGAGAGTGACAGTATCTAAGTTTCGACTGATTACATGTCTAAACTTTTGAATGAAGTCGTTTGGAATTTATTCTATATCATGATGGATTAAAAGCCTGCCACTGAAACGGGCATAGTGGATTTTACATGCATTTAAAGTTTAGGTTTAATAAAGTTTTTTAAGATTGTAATATTATCTCTAATTTATCATTGTTTACGTACATTCTCTCCTGGCTCACCAGCTTCTCCTGTTGCTCCACGCTCCCCGTCATTTCCCTGCTGACCTGGTGGTCCCATGGCACCTGGCATTCCTTGCAGACCTTGTGGTCCCTAATTTGAGATAATACGTTTCTGATTTTCACTCCATGAATAAATAAAATTTGTTTTCATGAGTTCGGATTTCATTTCTGTTTTCATTCCTTGCACTTATCATTTAAGCGTTTAGAATACATAGTTGTATCGAAATTCAAATTTGATGTTTTCCCTCACAATGAGATGTGAAGAGTTCGGTACCAGAAATAAGAAGTGCAAAAATAGAGATGATGAAATTAAACTACATTTGTAATAGTGACGTAGAAAAAAAATATATACAGTATATTGATATTTGACTGTTAAGTACAACTGGATCGTGCAAATACTTTGTGTCTTTTACATGTCACACCAGCGATATCTTCATCGCAAAGAAAACATTATAGTTTAACACAGTATCAATTAAAGCAAAAGATTCCAAATATTGAAAACGTTCATCAAAGACGTAGACATATATATTACATACTCTGTCGCCAGATATTCCCGGTGCTCCCATTGTTCCAGGTAATCCTTGAGGCCCCTACAACACAAACATCGACTTTCCATTACATTTTCTGTGTTGCAATACCTTCGCAAAGTATTACAAATGTTGGTTGATAACATGTTTTATCATCATCTGACATATCAGCAAATATGTTCCATACAGTATATATAGAATCGAAAGGGAATTGAAGAGATTGAATTGAAAGCTATACTCACACGTGAACCTGGATTTCCAGCTAATCCGGGCAGACCACGTTCTCCCTGGGGGCCAGGTGGACCTGCTGGGCCTGGGCTTCCTTCACGACCATCAGCGCCGTGCATTCCCTGTATAAATTGTTCTTAAAATCATTCTTAAATTCCCATTAAAATAATAATGGCTAAATAAAAAAATCGAAATATCAAAAGACATTGAATGTTATTTTCCTGTTGTTTGTTTTGGTTTTAATGGGATAAGCTGATCACGAACAATATCAAAAATCAAATAAGAAAACTCAATTCAGCAACAGCAACAACAATAAAGAAATCATTTGGAATAGAACCAAGAACGCAAGACCAGGTAAGCATCTACCGTCTCATCCACAGCACCGTACAAATCATTTTCGATCAAATTCACGTAATATAATATCATTCTGGATATGCAAACAAGACAAAAGATAACCAGAGATACTACCGAGAATTGAACATCTTATCACACAAGAGAATATACTTTTCAATGAGATTATGATAGCTTTGCTGTCTCGTTCACCTTATAAGTGTTAGAACATATATTTCGTTTATGTTAGACTTAATTAGTTGATGTTACACGTACAGACTCTCCTTTCATGCCCATTGGTCCAGATTCGCCAGACTCTCCTGGAGGTCCCTGAGGACCAGGGAATCCCGGTGAACCCGGAGGACCTTGCAAACCCTAGAAAAAAAATCATGTTCATAGTTATTGTGTGTTCAATACAGTTCTTTATAAATGGTCTATCAAATTATCAGTTATGTTTACTGTATACTTCTTGTAAACCTTAACAGTTTCATACCCTTCTTCACATTATAATATTAACGAGGTCTTCTTCAAAAACTCGATACACGTAATGAGAATTGTTGACGCAAAAATATACTCTACCATGTCAGACTTTTATCGTATTGCTTAAAAATGAACATGGTTGTTGTAATTGCCATTTTGTTTATTTATTATTCTTATAATTTATATAGAGAGAGAGACACACACACAAATGTTCATTCAAGATCTTGATAAAACTATCTGAATACGAATTTGTGTAAAGTGGTACGGACACTTTTTTTTTAAAGATGGTGACTTTATCAGATGTAGCGATAAGCTATTACAGCCACCTTGAAACTTAGAAATTTTCTTTAGTCCTACTGATTAGTGCAGGGTTTGTATCTGCAATGTCATTTTGTAAGGACGAGTAACAGTATTGATGGTCTAAGATGATTTTTATGATGACAATCGCTTTAATTTCAGATAAATTATGTTTAGAATCACCATATTTACAAGTGACGGTCCTGATTCTGTTAACAGTTAATCATGACTTCAGGAGTCACTTGACTATGATAAAATCGCAGGTTATTAAATTTTACATCAATACAACGTTTCGCAGAGATAACGTCCAATTTTTGCATGTTTCAATTCCATGTACGTCTAGGTTCAAATAGTGCAATCAGTAAAATATTGATGCATACACCAATATTTCACCGTGTCTCCTACATGAACACGTATCCCCAAATGAAGAAAACGAATCAAATCATAAGTTAAATACATAAATCGTTCATTTACAGTAAACAAAAAATTACCGATTCTCCTTTGGGGCCAGGGGTGCCATCGACTCCAGCTTGCCCAGCTGCTCCAGGTGTACCAGGTGGTCCAGAGATTCCATTCTCGCCCGGTGGTCCTGTAAGACCCAAAGCACCACGCTGACCTGCTTGTCCAGCATCACCCTGTATAACGTAAGATGTGTTAGTCTTATCGAAAATGTATACTGAGAAAATCATTGGTTCATATGACCTATTTTAATGTGTTTATACCACTTCTCCTATTCCTTATATGATTAAACGTTTTGACTTTCCGTAAAGAAATCATAGCTGACAGACGCTCGTAATTCATGTAGAGCCAAAAATCAACATGTCAACATATTAAAATCCCAAACTCAAATTCAATAAAACTAGGGCGATTTTCTGCTTCATTGACGACACCTGCCATGTAAAACTTGGTCAATCCAAGAAAGTAATGTCATGTTCTCAAACGAGAACAATGAATGCAAAAGCAACAAGCAACAATACAAATTTAGTGTGAGTTAAAGTAATACTTGTAGTATCTTACTGGTTTATGTCATATGATGTTTTACCTTTTGTCCTGGACTGCCACTAAATCCTGGAGGTCCTGGATTTCCAGTTGGTCCCTGAGGTCCGGTTTCCCCTGGCGCTCCGTCCATACCTCGTAATCCCTGTAAAATATAAATATTATCGAATGTGTCCATGATGATCTATATTCATAAATGTCACATGCGAACAATTGATTTTATTGATAAAATTGAAAACTATGCGTCGGCAAAATGTTGACAAAATCTTTGTATTAATGTAATTAACATATATATATTAACACACCATTGGTCCTGGAGATCCATCCCTACCGCGCTCTCCTGTCGGTCCAGTAGGTCCCATGGGTCCTGGTGCTCCCGGTGGTCCGGAAAGACCAGCAGGTCCCTTTTAAGATAAACGATGGTGTGAACGAACATCAATTACATATATGTTTCACATGATTCTTAAAAACAGTTTTAATAGCGTAAGTGAACAAACGTCATTTAAGTACACTTAAAGCCCATTATCTCTCTAGGCAGTTGTTGTAGACGTTGGTATACATTTAGAACTTTTGAAATTCCTTTCGACCACATTACATTTTCTTTATCGTCTCCCAGGCTTCACAATTTAGGCCCTTATCATCACTTGACGAGTGCTCAGAGGACGAGACAGCTGTAGGATGCAGTTGCTAACTCTAAATTTGTATGAAACGGTGCTAATCACTTGTGTGTCTATTGTAACATTTTTGAAGATGTCATCAAGATTCTTACCTTCGGTCCTGGTCCTCCTACTGGGCCTTCTTTTCCAGAGACACCGGGGAAACCCTTTTCAAATTATATAAGTATAATTTATTGAATTGTCAAGAGTAACTTGATACGAATTGTTATGTTGAGCATTATCGGCGTATATGTGAATTTTATGCATATATTTCCTTATCAAGGCATTACATTCATACGCAAAAATCTATTACTTACCCTGTGACCTTTAGGTCCTGGCAAACCGGGCATACCTGGACGTCCTGGGTTTCCCTACATCAGAATGTAGAATCTCTGGATATTATGCTTTTAGCACTCAGTTGACGACAAACATGAATATACAATATTCTGGAAGTTTTCAACCCTTTATAATTCGTATTTTTTAAAAAAAAAAATATAATTTGTTTATTTCTTTTATATACATAAATGTTTTAATTTTTATTTTTGGCATACAATTGTTTTGTATATTATGCGGAATAAAAACGATATTTCACAAGCTAAGTATGCTAATGTTATTCATGAATGATATTTAACATAGGAGATTATTAATGATAAAACTTTATACTCACGGGGGAACCAATTTGTCCAGATGGTCCTTGTTCTCCTGGTTGTCCCTCATCACCCTGATATTGAACGAATGATGAAATATTAATTTAAGAAATCTTAAATTTAAATAAAGTCGTCACCACTGGAAACGTATCTTAGATAGAATGTTTCTATTTTTTTTTCACATTTTATATTTCATTAACAAACAGTGATTTTAAGTCATTTCCCGTCGACTCTGTGGTTGGGCACATATTACTTACATCAGCTCCTGGTGGACCAGATGGTCCTGGGAATCCACGTGAACCTGCTTGTCCCTAAAGAATGAAAAACAGTTTAGGACTCATGAGACAGAAGTTTTAAACCAGACCAGTATAAGATTTAAGTGTTACGTTTCGATGACTACACGGTCACCTTCATCAGACAAATTACCCCTAACGCTGACGTACGTAGTGTACAATGTCTTAAGAAATTAACGTTGATGTAAGTTCAGTAAACAAGACTCAGTTCCATCAGTATACTTATGTTAGTTGCTAAAAACATAACATGCCTAAAGCATATCAAAAATATATTTAAACCAAAAAGCATATTTTGAACCAAGTAGTCAATTCAAGAAAATGGTGCTTGAAATAAAAAAAAAGTTTAGAAAGTAAGGATATCAAGGGGAGTCGACTTACTGGTGGACCAGGTTCTCCTGGTTCTCCTCTTTGTCCCATAAATCCCTGTGGTCCCTGCAAATAAAAGCGCAATCGTGTTAATTTTGTTATTTTTTATTTCTTTTTTATTCCAATATAGTCTTAAAAGCTGGAACTAACATAAAATGCTGTTGTAAACAAAAAATGTTTTGTATATCGGTCTGTATTTTAAATGAGGAAAAGAGAGAGGCAAACAATGAAATATGCATCGATTGCATTATATCATTCTCAACCACGTTTGTGTTTTTCTCGGTATCATCATAGTTTTCTCTAAAGAAGGTCATTAATACAGGTTAGAAATTATCTCGACACACTGTCATATTTTATTTCTTAGAATGTGGTTGTACTATCAATTTCATCAGGACATCAGTTATCAATTGGGAACTTAATGATGTACATATGTACAATGAATAAACAAATCTTTCCAAGTTTCAAATGTTAGCTAGGACTTACAGATGGGCCCATTGGTCCCTGAGGTCCGCGTGGTCCTGGAATTCCCTACAATACAAATACCATTACATGTTTTAATAGATAAATAAACAATTATAAATGTACATATCATTAATATCAGTATTTTTTTATTTGTATTTTTGTGTCAACGACCGGAATCATCTTTGCGCATTGGTTTCCTAGTTAAATGAATAGCATACTCCGCATTCTGCTCATGTATTGATTGTCACGTCATTTTTGTGAGAGTACTGTCTTGAGCAAACGACGTAATTTTCTCATGAGAGGTAATGACGCATCAATCAACCAGATCGAATTTGATTCAAAAACGTGAAATTAGAAACAATGTAGACAAGAAGGTATTATCAGAATACATTAAAAAATTACCTGTGTCAGTGGAATACCCGCGATTGCTGGTCCAGCTTTCTCGTCGGCAACAACAGCAATCTTTCCAACGAGTTGAGTATGGTCGGGAATTAGACCCACATCCTAGAGACAAAATTTACGCATAATACAATAGAATGTAGTTCTCATAGAATGTCTGTAGAACTGTGACTAATAGCTATATCATTGGTCGCGTGTTAAATTGATCCCGGTATCGCCTTAGCCTTAGTAGATATAAGTATAGCTTTATTTTTGCAGTTTTAAAAGAATGTAAAGAATATGAGAGAGGGAGTATTATTTTTTAGTTCAGTTTTGATAACAGACAATATAATTGCTTCTTTAATCCAGACTGTATCTTCTAAGGTATGGTTGTTGTAAATCAAAATTACTAGCGATAGACTTAAGGAAATGTTAAATATAAAAGTATCAATAATAGGTTTGTGTGAGAAACTATAAGAACATCTTTTTTGTTTATTCTAATTGAATGTGTCTTGAAAAGTACTACTATCCAATTTGAAGACGAAACATTTAAAGTAATACATACCTTCTTGCCTATGACAGCTGTAAAGAGACATGTATGCTTATTGTTATGTAAGATCAACACTGTACGCAAACTTAATTTTTAATCGTGAAATACTCGTGAAATTCATTACGTTAAACGGCACACAACGTCACATCACCCTCCTACCTCATTGGTACAAGGTAACCAATCAAAAGTTCATGATATACTGACTGCAATTACGCCCAGCGCTTCCAACTGACCGTATATAGTCACATTATCATAATTAACGCAAGGATGAACAATTTGAATACTATATGAATGCAAACGTTACATTAATGTATACGTGTGTAATACTGCACCGTAAGAGGAATACGGATGTACTGACCGATATGCAAATGCCATAATCAAGGGTCCAACGTGTTTGGTATGATGAGCGTGTAATTTGGTATGATAATCAAATATAGAAATCAAGATTTTCCTTGTATATAGAAGGCAAGATTCTAACGAATAACGCGTTGCGTTGATGGAATGTTTGCTATTTTCACTCGTGGCAGACATATTTACGACATTTTTTATTGAGAAGTTATTGAGCAGATTACAATATATTCTGAGACAGATAACAACACCCCATGACGTTTTTCTGCTGGACACGCACTTAAGTCAATTGAAGAGGAGTATGACAAACACATCAACTTATTATCACTTATCACTAATAAATATTGATACATGGTTCTGTCTAAAAAATTACTATATTTTCCATATCGTTCATTTCATTTTGGTGTACATAACTCTCGGTATGCTCAGTTATGTACACCACAAATTTTGGTGTTTTTAAGGTCGTCAATGATGTCAAATTTAGAACGTCCACAAACTTGATTTACTATCCTATATCAAAAAGAAAACAACCAGGTATAACTTATTCGATGTGAAATATCGGCATGTAATGAATTATTGTTCTGAAACCTATTCACATTCGGAACAAAGTCAAAATGTAAAGACAAATATGTTGAAGAACGAAAAAAACAGTCCCGGTTCAAAGAATAGAAAACAAGTGTACATACCCATTCTTAATGCTGATATATATAACAAAGAAAAGCACATCGTATCAAATCCGGGGATGACATAATTATGCATACCGACAGTTGAGTACACGATTTATTTTAAAGAAACATGTTGAATAATGATCTAAAGTGATAAGTGGTTGTATTTGTCATACTGATGTTAAACTTGCGTAGAAGTGCTTGACCCGCCGAAAACATCATGCAATGGATGCAGGATGTTGTATTCTGTTTCAGAATATGGTGTAATCTGCTAAAATTTTAAAACCGAAGCGCAATATTCATTAGAATTTTGCATTCTCACTTTTTGTTCCCGAAGCGCCGTTCTGCAGCCATATTTGCTTATCATACAAAATTACAAGCTCATCACACTAAACACATTTGACCCGCTGATGATATAATTTTCACGAGTGATAAATTGACTATTATCTGCTAGACAGTAAAATGATGTCCTCACATATATCGTCAAGGAATGATGAATTCACACAAATATCTTATGACAATGGTAAAACGGTGTCCAAACAACATCGTCAAGGAATGATACACTGACCCAAATTACTGATAAAATGATGTCCAAACATCGTCAGGAAATACTATACTGACTAATATCTAATGACAATGGTAAAATGATGTTCAAACATCGTCAAGGAATGATATGCTGACCAATATCTAAAGGTATTTGTAAATAATGCCCTAATGTCGGCAGGAAACATTTCTTTGCTAATGATATGATGATTATAAATTTTGCAAATCATGAACACTGTTTAAGTCTATGGCAAAATGAAATGTCGAGCGTTTCCCATACAATCTAATTATTCTACCAGGAAAGTGAAGCCGTAATGGTTATTCATAGTTACGAAAACTTTGTAAAATCATATTGACAAATGATTGCACATGCACACAACGATATTTCATACATTTTAAATTCTGACGTTGAAAGATATTGAAAATAAATGTGAACAAGAATGACTTTACAGAATACGGCATCATCATATCTATTGCCTATATATCATATTTTTCATAATAAGTAATGATGATCATTTTAGACCAATAGGGGATGGTGCGTTCATAAGTAAAATGTTATAGACAATCTGCCTCTTATCAAAAAAAGGCACGATCTATGTAAATCTCTTTTTGCATCTGGATACTTAAATGCTAATCAAAAAGTGTGCTGTTATTTGTTTTCAATATTAGTATATATGAGTTAACACTCCGCCTTTTTTCACTATTGCCAATGAAAAGAAGCCAGGAGAAAAAATGACAAAAAGATTAAAAAAAAAAAAAACCCACTAAAGTGGAAAATGAAAAGAAGAAAAACCGTTTATTCACCAAGACGAAAAGACTTCCTACCGAAGTAAAAAAGGAAGACGACACTTCATTTTTGACGTCCTTTTTACTTCGGTTTTCGTCTTTTCGGTTTTACGCTTTGGCGGATATTCATCTATTTTTTTTTCGCCCAGCGCCTTTTTGCTAGCAAGAAGGTGAAAAAACGAAATGTAAAGTACAAGCCAACCTAATCAGCATTTTAATGTTTAAACGCTCACTTACTTAAAATGCCAACGTGTTACTATTACAACGAAATAACATACTCTTAAAGGCCAGACACGTTAATGTGAAGTTTAAGGAAGTTTCAAAGTTTAGAAATCGATAACCTACGGATACACTGAAGACAGCAATCCGGCATTTCTACTAATTCGTAACCGTCCCCGCAATTAGGTTCTGGACACTGGATCTGATTACAGTCCAGTTCTCCATCAAAACACGTGCAGGATTGACCAGTTCTGCATTCGTTTATAGTCTCGCCATGAGGAATAGTCTTGCCGCCAAGACTGCAGTCTCGCGGCGTTGGTGGCGGTAAACCTATAAGAGACAAAAGACACAATATAGTTATTGCTAAAATGCAAGCAAAAAAAGGTATATTGGTGAGATAAATATGGGAAATTTAAAATAAAATGCAGTAAATTTCCTATTTAACCTTATTTAAGAGACCAATCGTACAGAAACTATCACAACCTGTCTCATATAGTTGCAAGAGCTTAACAGAACGATCTAACAGAACTGAAAGTGTCGGTTATGTGTTTGGTCTCAACGTGCATGTGTTCTTTTGTGGCAGAAGGTGTCTTGTTATGTAAATGTGTCTATTTACAATCCTTGGTACATTTGAATAAGCTTTGTTTACACCACCAGAATAAATATACTTTAGTATATATGTTGTTACACTGGACTTCTACATTGCATCCCTTACAATGTTCAGCGTAACGTAATTTTCCTTTAGCATAACAACCATTGCGAATACTATATCAAGATGTCGTCATGTGTGGTGGTGTATTGAACTGCTCCATACTCAAACTAATAGAGTTTGTAAACCTAAACCAAACAGCCAGAGCAATATCAACTTAATACAATTTCCAACTTCGAACTCTTGTACCATCATATAGCAGAAACTGTTTTACAAAGCAATGTCTTTATTTTCAATGTAATCATCTAGGTTACCTTACCGCAAAGATGTAGGACATGCATACCCCCTTTCCTATTTGTTCCGTTATTTATAGTTAGAAACAATAACGTTGATAAGTCGAAGTGAAGATGATATCTCGATTGCCGTAATAGATGTCGACAGCATATAGAAACCACATCAAACACGAAAAGATCGAGAGATGGAGGTTGCTAAAGACTATGAGAAATATAAATAAAATTCGATTTCTTCAATACACGCTGGTTACCTTGGTATAACAATTATGAGAACATCATATTTATTTAATTAACCCAGATTACATGTCTTGTGTACGATGACCATGAGACGCCTGCGATTACGGAACGTCTGGTCTTATTTCCCTTGTACTTTTTTAAGGTAGTCAGGAATTTCTTCGAATAGAATTCTATTTTTGAAGAGGTTTTTTATTCCTACTATTTTATTAGTATTAACATATCCTTTGATGATTGATATCTATGAGTTAATGTTGACAACAGTGTCATTTTGAATGGGTCACTATACGTCGTATTCTATTCATTTCTGCCAGGAATCGCAGCCAATTATCAGCAAAACTATTGTAAAATCCACTTATTCAACCTTTGCTTAATTTTACACTAAACAGGAAATCCATCAAACTCTAATGCGATGAATAGTATGCCTCGTTCTGATTGGTCAAATATCTAAAAACATAACGTCAATTGGAAAGGTATTTAGCACAAGCGAGAGTGATGATTTATCATACCAGTTTTAATGTGTTGGTATAAGTTTATTATTGAAACAATATTTTATATTTTACGAGCAAAAATATGAAATAAGATACATGAAACCTAGAAATAATGCTAAGCACTAACCTATATGAACCTAAAATCCACCAACAGCTCGGTATATAGATGTATTTCTATGAAACTAATACTAACATTAGTTCAACATTCGACACTAGTAAATATCATGCAAATTAATAAGGAATTTGATCTATATCTTATTCCATATTATTTCATAATGATGAGTTTTATTGTAAAAAATCTTTCATGTTATCAATATATCATAATAATAACAAGTCTCTGTCTTGTCTGACTAGTATGTTTCGTGCGAGGCTAAATCTACCAAATGTTACATCTAAGCATGTACCAAAGACATTGAAGAGTCACTTAATTTCACTCAATATGATTCGATATCCATGTACTTGTCCCCAATATTGCAATATCCATGATAGTTTTAACACATGATTTCGAATGATGCAGACTGATGAAGAAAATGGACAATTGTTATGGTCGCCATCATCAAAGCCTATAAATAACATATTTGTTTTGTGCAAAATGAAATTAGATGTGTAAATAATGATGTTGTTGTCATTGTTATTAATTCGACTTTTACTGTAGGCCGTTACATCACGTGACTCCAATTTGCTTGTCTGGTGTTATCGGTGCAGCAGCAGACATTTACACCATCTTGTACTATGTCACAGATCCCCGTGTAGTATATATCCTTTAATCATAGATTGTCTTATTTCTTTTTACAAAGATTGAATTGAGATTTTGTTAGTTTACTCTACTTCTTCTATGGAAGGCGTTTCATATCTATACAGTTACTAAAGATACATAGCAAAAAAGTTGAATTGTATTTCAGTAATGAATATTTCATAAACTGAAAATTGATTTTAGTCATCGGTAGCTATGTAAGTCATGGGCCCGTAATGTCGCTTGTATAAACAATCCATTTCTTTCCTTTAAATTTGATTAATGATGTCAGACTTTATTTAGTCACTTACTGGTACAAAATTTCTCGCTACAAAACACCTGATATGATAATATCCGAAAAATAATAGTTCACAAGATATGTGGCTACTTTTCAATGAGTACATAGTATTCCGTGAATTCAATCATATCAAGAGAGGATACAAAATATCAATTGAGGAAAAACATTATTTGTGTAAACGTGACACCTAGAGTGCACAAAGGTCACATCCAAGAAATGTCGCGATTTCAAAAAGAGAATGGGCGACACTTCACGTCAAAACTTGTTCATATAATATTTTGACATTATTAAGTGTATGCTATGTGATTATCATAGCTAGTTTCAAATAATTAAAGACTTAAGAGTAGAGATATGTGAATGTTCATTTTTTGCATTACATAAATGTGCCAAAGAGAGTTTTCACCTCTACTTTTCATGTGTCCAGTCCACTCTTAAAATCAGAAAGAAAAGAAAACGGGAACAAGAAAATGTATGATACATTCAACATTAAAACAAAACAGATGGAGAAGTATAAGTGTGAAGATAAGTAGGACAAGTGTTTTATAAGTTTAAAGTGTGGTCAACGGTCTTGACATCATCATTTTGTATTAAATATTTTGTTTGCTTACAGCACGACTTTACTGAATGTTTTCAGCTATTGACTGATGCCCATACCCGGATTATCATTGAAAATAAAATTTAAAAAATATTATTGATTTTGCCTGTTTCGTTACGAATTCCGAATGATCCTTTTCAACATAGATCGAGTTGCGATATTGTTCATCGTAACATTGACTATTTTATTTATCCAATAATGATACATAGAAGAGAAATTTTTCAACATCGATAAAGATGGTATTTACCTTAAGCTGTTTTGTATGTCAACATTACATTACAATAACATATAGTCAACACTTTCTAAGCTCCTAAATTAGACGGCATATCTTCAAACGTTGTCTTACTCAATAACTTTTTTTATATAAAATGTATTGTTTTCCCGAAGTTCTAAAATCTTACAGACTTCGTAGGCATAGATTATTTGGTGTAATGCTAATTTTCAATTAATTGACTAAAAAATTAATTATTATTATATCATCTTTTTTATCTAATTACATCATTATAGCATATAATTGATAAAGACAGCATCCACTGAATGGGCGACCATACACTGGCATCTGAACGCTGTAGGATGTAATTCATGAAAATAGATAAGCTTATCTGTAAATGAGATTTATATACAACACGTACTACGAGCTTATAAAGCACGTGGTAGAAATTTATATATCAAGGATAAGGATGGATTATAATCTTATGTATCGTGTATCATCTTTATGCTCCTGCTTAATTTAGAAATGTTTGATAAAGAAAGACCGTGAAAATTAACTTGTAAAAGTGATCATTTAGTCAAAAGTTATAAAACATCCTTTGATTAATTAAAACAATAAAAAGATTTTTACAATGTAATAAGAAAATTATAAAACACGTTATTGTGCTTTCTGGGGACATGATCTTTTCTTATGTAATCAGCAATCTGTGAACAGGTATTTATTTGATTTTTATTTTCATAAAACTCTAATCGTTTAAATGTTCAGGTAAAATGTTTAAGTCTAAATGTTTTATCGCATGTTTTTTCCTAAGAAGATGAAAAGTGCCACCATTGAAAGGAACTGCCAAGTCAGCGATTTGACAGAGAGTTCAAGCTGTAGATGTCTACGTGGCACTTAAGATCAAAGTATACATCACTGATATAACGTTACTTAGAGTTAATGAAAGTATGTTATAGACATTTAAACAGGAAAGGAACTGAAATGGCAACTGCAAAGAAAATATCGAAAGAAATTAATAAAAGTAAACAATTGCTACTCTTAAGGTAATGTCCGCCATTTTGAATGACAAATATGGCGGACATTCATTTTGCAAACGTGGCACCATATATAACTCATTGAATTGAAACCACAATTTATAGTTAAATTTTGGGCAAAATTTACACATTGTAATATAATCCATAAAGTAAGGCAATATCCAGAAATATAATTTCACATTGTTGTTATATCGCAAAGTGTTTTCGGTATTTTTCATAGAATTGTCTGGCGATATCTTTAGAAATGGTATCTGAAAAATCGGCTCATGCCATTATGATACGAAATATGCTTAATAGGTCCATGACATGAGAGAATAAAAGATACATATATATGAAAAATCTGTCTTTGTATGTTATAACATTTCCTTAATGAATCTCTTGTAAGGCAATACTTATCTCTCATATCATATCGCACGTTAACGAAGCAAGGTGAAAAGCTTACAAAGTCACGACATGCTGTAACAATAGCGTTATTGTGCCTGTTGAAGGTATAGACATATAAAAGCTAATGAAAAAATATACATTGTTTGTTAATAAAGTGACATTTAGATGTTAAAAAAATAAATTGGTGTAGACACACAGAAATAGAATATAATCTTAATATTCATTTAAGTTTAGTAACAGCATAATTAAGTTGACACAGACTTTCAATTGATGTCCAATATGTACATCTTTTGGTGAGGCTATACTTCCTTATTCCATTTTCTAAAACGCTGATAATTAATTTGTAATTTACATTGTAATTAGTAATTGTATGAAAATGTTTGATACGTACCATTCTGAGCGTAGTTAATCCCTTGTGCTGATATTTTTCCAATCATACATATGAGCAGAATGCCCCATCGTACGTTTTCGTACGATGTCATTTTGAGCTAATGAGTGTCCTTTCCTAACTATCTACTGCATTTATGGGGGGACAGTAGAAAAATGGAATTATCTGTCCAGATTGAAAGACTTGTTGGTAGTAAAAGCCTGAATGCTCAGGCCTTTTAAACACTAGGAAGAGCCGTGCTGCTTTTGAAGAAAAAGCAACACAGGATTCCTAGAGCGACGTCGGAGATATTGAGTCTAGTACCGTCGACCAAAAAGCCAGGCGGCTAGCCCTCAAATGCTTGCGATGATAAGTCAGAATTTTATACGGTACACATGCGCTAACGGCCAATCAGTCTCCACAACTGTGACCTAGGCTACCAGTCGCGCGCTGCTTCCTGAGCCCGTTTCCAGCATCTGCAACCCGTTCGTAAGATGGATGGACCTTCGGGCCAGCTCGGTTTCAATTATGCAAAGTTATATGAGTGGCAAAAACACAAGCTTGCACACTCAACTCGGGTGTAACTTGATACCGACACTCCGTAGAAGTCGTATACTTTACATGTATGTGATAAAAAACTTGTTGAGTATGAAACAAATTATTGCCATGGAGACGTGAATAAGTTTGAGCTTGACCTGGGTTGACCCTGCCGTAAAACCGTTATTTAAACTATTCACGTCTCTGTGCCCGTCTTCTGTGCCCTGTTTGTCTAACGTAACGTGTCATTTTACGTAGTGGGAAAATCATTTCAGTTGCCGAAGAAAATTTTCGCTTCGTCAACTTTTCTCAGATTTATGGAGGACGTTAGTCTTAAAACCAATAAACCAAAGACGCACTTAGATTTTTCGGATTTTGCCTGCAAGACAAAATATATACATTACAACACTAAGGACAATTTATAATGGGTTTGTTTGTCCATGATTTTTGCACACATAATTAATTTGAGATGATTTGAATATATCCATGATGACAATTACTTTTCTCCAAAACTGAAAAAGACCTTGTACATGTAACATGGGATAATAATTTTAATAAAGGTTGTAGTCTAATTTTTGTGTAAAAGTTAAATATAAAACTACTGACAACTAAAAATATTGATTACGTAAGTATCTACTGTGTAATTGGAATACAGCCATTATTATAAAATATGATTTGGGATATGTATCATTACAGATGATTCGTTTAATTTAGAATATGGATATGATATACCAGTGCAGGACACTTAATATATAGAGGTAATGCAAGCTAGGAAGCGGTGCCAACATCAGATTTCTGAACTGGCTGGTTTCTTTATGAAGCAGACAGTATAACGTGTTGTAGTCAGCATTCTGTTTATCGGCTGATTTTGCCTGCTTCTCAAAATTTAACCGGGAACACACGTACAGTTGCCGTCTATTAAAGTGTTTTGCGTGTAACCTTTGCCACTGTATCCAGCGTGCTGTATCACCATAGGAAGTTTCTCTAACAGAGGCCAAGAATCAGTACAGTTGGCTCCTGTGTGGCCAGAACACCTGTTGATTAAAGAAAGCGCAATGAGGTTGACAGCTAAAGGCAATGGGACAGAATTTTGATAATGTCCAATATGTCCAAGTAAATATATACAACTGAATGTAATGTTTAAAGTCTTGATCATTGTTTTCTTTTCTTTTTATTGTAAATAGTGACGTTCCGATTAAAGTAATTGTATATCAATATATTCTAATTAGCATAAGAGTTTTTCATCCAGCTTAAAAGAGGCTTTGTCTAACACTTTAAATCTATTGATATAATAGCCATGACTTCGTTTAAAAGGCAAAAACAAAATCTTATGTCGAATATTCATCACACCATGATCCCTTGATTAATAGACTGTTAGAGGAAAGATAGAAATGCATGATGATGCTAAATTGCCGATAAAAGAGGAATACTCTTTAACTTGCTGAACACAATGTCTTATCAGTGAAGAAAATTGTGTTAATATTTCCTTTGTAAATATTCCTTTGACTCAAGTGTATCAATTTTAAGTTCAATTTTTCTATTCTTTTCGCTTGTAAATTTATTTTTGTGTGTATGACTTGTCATTGATATTTTATGACATTTTGTTTAATTCGTTTTATTATCAATAAGCAAATTTAAGTAAGCATCTTATTTATGATTTAATGAACCTTGCACAGATGTCATTCTCACTAACATAACGAATGAACATGATAAATATTTTTCATGAAGTCAAAATATTCCCCATTGAATTTAAATTTCAATGATAAATGGAATAGATAAACAGCAGGACATATAATATTACCTGTTAGATTTCTAGAACGATTAAAGGAGGTTTAGTGAATGAGTATTGCACTGAAGAAAGATTATTCATTATCTTGATAAATGACGTGCAAACACGTCGACATAAAGATCTTATTAAGAAATACTATATTTCTTAGCGCAATACGGAACTGGGCGCGTATGATGCCCGCTTATTGTTCTAATTTGGAATTGTGCCATTTGGCTACATACTTGGACTGGCCAAGATTTACAGGGAGGATGTCGTTGGTGAAACAGAAGACACTTTCTCTTGCAGTACACCTGGTCGTTTTCTTGTATCTTATCACGTGTCTCTGTGTTATCTTTCTTTTGTTCATATTTTGCCTTATTTTCATAGAATTGAAGTTCGGATCGTGATTCTGTTGAAATGTTGGTATTTTCAACTACTCTTTCCATATTGCAATGATAAAAAACCCTAGTATTTCGTATATTCTATATCAACAAATAAAAATTCTGTTTTTTCATCTCCTAGTTGAAAGATCTTGAATCAAAGATTGCCTAGTTGATGTTTTGCCAGTTTCGTGATAACAAAATAAGACCATTAATACGCCAAGATCCCTTGTGACTCAGTAGGTAGTTATATGGTTCAGCACTGCGATTCACAAACAAGATAAGAAATTCTTCACGACATTACGCGTCAACTGTGTTTATACCATAAAAACTGTAATTCTGATGTGAAACATAGTTTGATATAGACAAGACATTCCTTTTCTGACGTGTATGCATGTTTCCGGAAGAGAAGAATATACTGAATATAAATGATTTAAGTATGTATATCACACAAACGACTACTGAACGGATATATGGGGTTTGTAGAAATATAAAACACTAGGTAGAGGAAATAGACATCTGACGCACATTTCCTGTTCAAAAATACCGCTGTCCAGGTTTCGTGTTCATTAAGATACAAATAGATATTTCTTCAATGTAATCTGATTTAATGCTGTCGAGACTTTTGTTCATTGTCATAATGCAAAGCAAGAGTGGGTAACAGCTTTTGTTGGAATGCTTCGCCAAATAAAAATCGAAGGTTGAAGTTCCACAAGGACATAAAAAACCACTTTTTGTGTTTATATCTGTTCAATCCAATAGAATGGTATTATGTTTATTTCCAGTATTGTTTCTGTTACTAAGTAGTCATTATGGCGTTGTCTGTGTTGATATACCGTTAAATATAATATACTTTACACGTGATCTGCAAGACTGTCATAAAAGGAATAAGAACATTATTTCTCTTCAAATATCGCCTATAAATACTTCGATTAGATATAAGAAATTAATTTCGTAGTCATGTTCTCGTTAAGATATTGGCCTGGACGTGGATACGATTACATATCATACTCCACTTTGGTAAAAACGGCATGAAATCAAAATAGCAGCGCATTGATAAAGAATTGTATGATCAGCTTTTAGTTGATGAAGCTGGGGGTACATGAAGCAAATGTTTTCCAGCGATGCATGACCAATTTAAATATCATAAAACACATAGGATTCTTTCATCTTTTTCGATACTTTAAGCATGTCATTCAGGTTCCTTTGAACGTGTAACCACACGTTTGTGTTAAAAACAGACGTTTAGAACGTGTTGTCAGTATTTCCATTGTTTCATTAAAAATAAACACACGAGATCGGTAATGTTCAGAGCTTGCATTCCAGACCTGCATAAGTTTATCGCTCTGTTGTTATGTGAATACATTCATGTCGTTGGTTTGGTATGTTGTGTTATTTTATTGTAACCTATTAATAACACCGTGTATAAATAAGTCTCGATTGAGATTACAAGAACAAAACACGGGTGATATATGAAGAAAACATTTTACATTTTTGCAGAAGGAATTTCTATAATATACGAGACTAATGAAAAAAGTATCTAATTTGTTCATACTAATGGTTAAAAATACATTCTTTTTGTTAACGCAACTTGAAATGAAACTGATTTACGATCATATAGTTAAAGTTGAATGTTAGTTTTTTTAATATTTTAACACTGTATATAATTTTGATGTATTCCTGAAGATGGCAATGACCTGAACTATATGTATCAGTAACTACCAAGTATACAAGTGGAAGCCACATGGAAGAAGGGGATCTCCATGTAAAGATTTCACTTTCGGGTCAAGAACCTTCAAGAGAATGGAAACAAGATCTAGGTCGAAACAAGTTGATAAGATTTAGACCGGAGATAAATGTCTAGATCGTTGACATGTGTGATCTGACATAGGGAGTGAGAGCTCGTTAATCAGTGAATAAACTACCGCACGCTATTGTCTATCTACATCATCAGTATTTTCAGTACAAAAACATATAGTTACGAAATAAGAAAATCAACATCTATTTTATATCCTATCTAACGAATAACATATGTGACGCAATAGAATCTCTTTATCTATCGATTTTGATACAATGTATTTTATTGTACATTTAGATCGTCAACATTACCGACATTAGAAGGACGAAACAACTGAATCAGTTTTATTTATTATTTGAGTTCCTATTAAATCCAACTCTAAATTTGTATTGCAAGGTGCTACTCACTTGTGTATCTTTGGTACAATAATTCGCAGAAAATATAATTTACTTATTATCGGGAGACGCGTGTATTGTTTCATTTATTTGGACTTGTCCCCATTTGACAACAGTTTTATTGAAATTTTCTTTTTTATTTCTTAACTGGTGAAATTCTTTGTTTGTTTGTTTGTTTGTTTGTTTTTTTTTTTGTTATAATGACCTTGATTTCAATGTTGATCATGGCCTGCAGTGCACTGTTGTTTAATAACGCAAAATAGCCGATAGATCAAAACAAAAATATCGAAAAAATAAAACATGTAAATAACAAATAATATTTCATGACAAAATAATCATTAAAGCTAGTGTTTCTTAACAGTTTGCAAGTGATTTCCGCTTAATTAGTAGCACATAATTTAGGGAAATGTATTAACAAAACACACTGATGAAACTTTGTGAACTTGGAAATAAAATATA